CATGTTTTTTATTATTATTTTGTTGTTTGTGAATCAGCCATTACTAATTACTTCCGCATTGTCTTGTAGGATATGTTTCCTGTGTTCATTACAAATGGTGCCCGAAACGATAGAATATATGACTCGTGTACTAATTATACAATGTTGATTGTGTCTTAAATATTGGATATTAGGATCCCATAGTTTCACGGCAAGATAACAACATAATTATTGATTGATATGGACTGATATTGAATTCTAATTCATGTTATTAATTTAAAAATGATGGATAATATTGAGTTACAGGTTTAGCTCCTTTAAGGCACTCGATTTAAACATAAATATAGCATTGAGTGAGAAAATTGTTCGCCAATCACACTTAAAAACTGATCATGAAGAAGCACAGTAGAAATTTGATACCAATTGTTGTTAAATTACTATGTCGGTTTCTCTGTGATCTTAAGTGTCATTTGCAATGAGAAGACCTGATGAACAAAGCAAAATATCCCATATTAATTGAAAATGGCCGATAGAAAAAAAAAAGAGATTAACTTGTGGACTGGACTAACCAGATGCAAAAAAAAAATTAAATGTAAATCTGTTAATACACATTCATATTACATTAAAATATGCTTTTTGATCCATTTTCCTCAATTTGAAGTTTCCAAAGGTTGAGTTATATGCCCTTTAAAAAGCTTAAGTTTAAGTGAGGTGAGTTTAAGCTGAGGGTTTAACATTGATTAGAGTAACTGACTTTTGTTTAATGATGCATTATGTAAGATTTAAATAAAGAGCTGGACGCTTTTTGCTATAATAGTTCAAAAATAGATAATAGAAATTGAATATATTCAATATTTCTGTCAAGTTATGAATATTTGAAGTTTTGGAAAGATTTAGTCTAAATTGTGTTGTCTAGTACTATTGCTATGATAATAAATGTAGTCTAGATTGTCAGTTATAACATTATTCGTATGTAATACATTTAATATCCCGGCCATTTGATGGTCTTGAGAGTTGATTATGGGCTTCTCATAAGAATGAATGTCTAAATAAATCATAAATTATATAACATTTGAAGCTAGAAACACAGACGTTCAATAGGAAGATTTATGTCTTACATAATGTATCTTTAAATAAAGAAGATTGTTGATTATTATATATTTGTTAATATAGTTTACCTATCACCGGTGATATTGATTAGCTTGTTCGTATTTTGTAATACGGATATCAAGTACAAATTTTACAGTTTATTAATTTTGTTATGTTAGTAAATCAATATGTGACCTGCAATAGTGAAATGACTTGCAACTTGCGACTCATTTGGTGACATGGGTCACATGGATTTATTTTAGATGTAAGTCACATCATCCAGATACAAGAAAAATTGTATGTTTAATATAGTAAAGAATAATTTCGATATATTAACGTATCTATAATAAAGAAGTGAATTTCATTAAAGGAAAGTTGGTACCAGAAATCATAAGCATGCCAATTGTGCTTCATACTTTGAGAATAGATCTCTGCCCGGAATGGCTGCCATATCCAAAAATTAGTATACTATTTCGTAATGCGATTTTATTTCGTTTTACATCTTTCAAACACACAAAGACCAAATAAACCTTTTCAATTTTATTAAATGGAAATGGAATCAATACTTCCCCAAATTCTTGAAGTATGCTTAGTGTTTTCGACTAAAATCGTTGATTTTAGTAGGACTTAAATGTCGGTCAACTGGCTTGGTGTCTGTTCTCAGGCAGAGCTGACTGTTGACAGACAGTCTTAAGTTTAGTATGAAGCATGCCCTGTGTTTGGCATCACAGCCATTAGTTTAACTCTTTAAGTAAAAAACTGAAATTGTTTCATTCATTCATTCATGCTTCTAATTTTAGCTGATTATGTTGTCGTAAATTCCATATACCTTCAGTATAAAGAATAATCTGGTAACCAAATCAGCTTTAGATGTGAGAAAGGATTTATTTTGCGATCATTGACTCAGAGGCAACAAATAAGCACAAGAGTTGACTAATGTCCAAAAATGTTATTTTGTTAATATTAATTTAATATCAAGTATATATTTTATTGTTGTATTTATATTTTATTTGTATGTATTTTGTAAAAAAAACAACAACACAATTAATTGTTTTTTTAAGTACTGTATTGTATTAATATTTTTTGTTTTAATCAGCCCTGATCATTTTGTTCTTTGTATTTTATCAAATCAAACGGATTTTATGTTTTATTCTACTATTACATCTCACTTTGTAAGTATCCATATTGTTTTCATGTTGTCATAGTAATATTTTATTTGGTGAGTTGATTTACTGTACTGATGACAAGAAACAAATTTGATTTGAAACTTTATTTGGATGTTATTACAGTATACACAATTACATGACCTGACGTTATATAAACTCGAGTCATTATTCTCAATATTCTATCAGATTTTTCTCGTCTAAGTTTACTAACCTGTAAATATTTTGCTTAATTTGTTTTAGGCCATATTGTTACTGGATAAAATTGATAGGTCATTGTTTTCCAAAATATTTTTCAAATTTACTTTCTTTTTATGAAAAATACCAAGAAATGCTGCTCTAAATTTATACATGTTTTCTGCCGAGTTGAAATCCAGTAAATTGCATTAGTTTTTGGTTATTAAGGTTATTTACTATTTTTAGGCATATATTTTGTTGATTTGACAGTCGGAACATGGCAGCTTACATGTTATTTCATATTGTGCCTATATATATATCTAAATATATGAAAGATAAAAAGGTTCCATCAAATAAGCCTATTGTTTAAATTGTTGACAAGATACCATGATCTGTCCACACCCAACATTAACTGTATTATAATACACAATGGCAATCCAGGGTTAGATTCAGCAATTTGATGATTGATGAAAATCTAGATACAATTTCATTTTGTATATGTAGTTCAAATTTTGTTTCATTTGTCTTCTCGAAAAATAAGTTAAGAGGAATATAAATCAAATTTAGATGTGTATTTGAATCTATTGCAAACTTTGTTGATCAGATTCTGAAAGATTGTCGGTGATCTATTCATTATTGATATTATGGACAGTGAACAAGGGTTGAGTTGTGTGGACGGATCATAAAATCGGTTTTGACTAAACTCTGTCCATCAGTACAGTATATAATATATGAGAATTTGTTTTTGACATTATGGTGATAAACTACCATACTGTAATATTGAATTATTTGTACGGTGATTGTGAATAACCTAGAGTTACTATATAGTGATGAGTTGATACCTGTCGTTGGTGATATGTATACCGGTTTTAATTGTCTCACTACCATTGTGGTCAATTCATCACCAAATATGGTAATAAATGATGCTTTAAATATTTCTAATTTGTTTATTTTTTTGTTTTGGAACACGGTGGCTAAGTGTGTTTGATCCTGGCTAGCTCCCGGTGTTGGCCGAGAAAGTTTGTCAGGATTTTCTGTCATGGTTTCCCCTTGTCAGTGGTGCAGTATGGAGGGCCTGACAAGGACAGCTGTCTAGTCGTTTGGATGGGGACGTAAAACCGAGGCCCTGTGTACATATTGCGTGCATCTAAAAGATCTCTTTGCAGTTGGAATTCGATACAAGAGTAGGCCATAGCACCACTGACTGGGCAAAATTTCCCTCATAGCACACTGTTTGGTGTATGCCTGTCTTCATTAGCCCTGTCGGAGCAGAACAGTAGGACCTTAAACCCCATTTCACTTCATTTTATTTTTCTCATACATTCATTGAAGGAATGTTGAACAGACGTGTGAAGCATTGCAGCGGTTTTGGCATCACTCCATTCTAATCATATATATATATGATGCACCTGAATTGTCTCGGCTTCAGATCTTGTCAAATTCTTGGACCCTCCACTGCTTAAATTCCTGAACTCACTCCTGGATAATCAAGGCTATTATTTTACACATCATGTAGACCAACCTGAAACCTAAATTGCAATAGAGTTGGTGAAGCTATATCAATTATCCAGTCACTCACATAGACAAATCGCTCACAAGAACTGACATGAAAAACATACAACTGCCATGTCTCCACACTGGGACATTGACAGTTCATAATGTCATCTTTTGTCTCCAACACAAATTGCATTGTTATAAAACTGTAATGTCTGGCAAAATATTTTTAAATACGAAAGTGCCTGAGAAATAGCCATAATGGCAGCCTTCCAAGCAGGGCTGGTTTTTGGCACATTTCACCAATTTCCCCCAAATGGGCCTCATACTAGAAAGGGGCCCTACAGCTCACCAACTTAAAAATTTTCCAGGCAATCTAGCAGCAGACCTATTTTTTCATATCCTGCTGCTGCAATGTATTCATATCCTGTAACTTTGAGCCTCACAAATTGGGCCCGCATTCCGAGTCATACGAGTGCTGTGCGTGAAATTTTGCTAAATCAGCTAAAGCCGTACAAAATTTCAAAACTTTATTTAAGACACCTTTTCAAGAAAAGTTTCCAGTGTCAGAACAGTTCCCCCACATGCACAGAACAAACTTTAGTTTCAAATGTTGTGCTATAAAAATGCAACAATAAAGATAATAATAAAGCAGGTATTTTTTTTTCTGAGTGCAGGAAATGTTTTACTTCAAAGAATAAACAGGGGGTTACGGTGGCTAAGTGGGTAAGGCGCTGGCTCGCTAGCCTTGAGGTCGGTTGTTTGATCCCTGCATTGGCCGAGAAAGTTCATCCAGATTTTTCGAGGTGGTTCCCCTTGAAAGTGATGCAGGATGGAGGGCCTGACAAGGACAGCTGTCTAGTCCTTCGGATTGGACAAAAAACCAAGGTCCTGCATACACATTGACGTGCACGTAAAAGATCCCTTGACAGTTGGAATTCGATATACGAGTAGGCCGTAATGCCGCTGTCCGTGCAAAAAATCCCTCATAGCACACTGTATGGAGTTTGCCCGTCTTCATTAGCCCAGTTTGGAGCAGAATAGTAGGACGTTAAACCCCATTTCATTTCATTACAAAGAATAACAACAAATCATTAATAGAATTCTTGAGCGATATATTATTAAATTATAAAATAAAAACAAAATTAACAACATATTAATTATTTACAAGTCTGTACATGGATGTAAATCTTTAATTCAACATGTGTTAACAAAAATATTTGAGCTATCATATTGATCACAGTCAAAATATTTTAAGGAATGCCTGGCAATCTATTCAAAATTTCACTTTTTTTCATTCCAGGTATTTGATTTTGTGAAAATGAAATTGGAATGAAAATACAATCAAATTTTAATTAGATGGGAAGAAGCAATAACGTAATAATTACCATAACCAACTATTTACATACCGTAATTACCCCTATAGCAACTGTTTAATACTGACATAATAGTACTGTTACCCCTATATCAACTGTTAAAACTCTGACATAATAGCATTATTACCTCTATATTAGTCTATATGAACTATTGAATTAAAACCCTAATATACATTTATAGTAATAATACCCCTATTAATTCAATATGAATGTATATAAACTTAATTACATTGAATGTTTAAAATTTTTATTGTATTCAGTATTGTTCTTTGAAGTACATGATTAGTCCAAATTAAATATCAGTCGATTGAACCTGGTTAGTCCAGTCTATAGATTTATCTTTTGGTCATTCGTGGATCATCCATTTTAATAATTTACATTGACTTGTTGGATATGTTTTTCTTTGTTCTTTACAAATGGGGCTCCAGACTATAGAGAACTGATTTAAAATGTTCATCATGTCATAATTACTGGATATCAGGATCCCATATTGTCATTGCAAAATAACAACATCAATACTGATTGAAATGGACCAATACCGAATTCTAATTTGACTTTTTAATTTCTAGCTCAATGAGATTTTAAATGGCATTTTATCGAAGTGTCAATTCTAACATATAGGTGGATTTGATTTGGGATAAAATTAAATTTATCAACATACAGATAAAGAGCTTATTGGTTCATTGTAATTACCTGTATATGTGTACCATAATATCATATTTTACTGTACATTATTCATACATAAAATAATAAACATAAAATAGATATAAATAATAAAACAACAATAAATTATAACAACCACTAAAACAACAATTAAAGATAATTTTAATCTTCCATTATTCTATTATGTAAGTGAGGGGAGGGGGAAAGGAGTCTGATGCATGCGCTTTTAAGCCTAGCTCACAGACCAGCCGAAAGAAACCGGGTGAAAATTTTGTATGTGCAGTACCAAAAGTCTACAGTGCTGAACGTAAGTCTCCCTCGCGGGTTTACTAAAATTTCCCCCGTCTATTGCCAGTAGCACGTACGGCAGATTGTGAGCTAGGCTTTAGATAAGGTCTGTCATTGCGCCAACTGGCATGGTTTCGATTCCCAACGTCTGTCCATTCTCGTGAAACTGGATTACCGGAGAAAACATACAAGGTTGGACAGAAGACCCTTTTTGACTCCATGACAGACCTCATGATCTAACGTGCATCTGTTAACCCATTTGACCACCCAACTTCTCAGACGATATATTTAACTATATAATTTGATTGAATATTAAACAGGCATTATGCAAGAGCTAAATCTGCCTATGCAGGTATTTCTTTAGGCCTGAAATGTTATATAAACTAATAATTAGGCATTTATTAACATGACAAGACCATAATCAACTCTTGCTGCCATAGGATGGGTCTGATTTTAAGCAGATTAGAACGGTTCAGTCATTTAATGATTTACCGTAAAAATGGTGAAGCGAGGCTTAGCCTCGAACAACCAGTACATCGGTTACAATATGTGCACACCTTTTGTCAAATCTTCAAAGGCTATAACATGTATCTTCACTCAGTAATTTGAATGAAATTTCAATATATTCATTTTTCATTATCTATTTTTTTAACTATTATAGCAAGAACGGCCAGCTCTTTATCTAAATCTTACATAATGTATCTTTAAAACTTATATATCTAACAGCCTTATCATATATAAGGATATAAGGTAAAATCGATAATTATATTATTGGGGAAGGGGTAATACCACTTTTCCCTGTGTAGGCCAATGTCATGAACTTTTACTGCTAAACTATTGGCAAGAGATCTCTTTCTGTCTGTCTCCCTCTCAGATGAGATTCCAAATAAAAGAAGGTTGCTAGAAAGCAATAATCTGCCTTTCCATTTGTAATATCAAAATATTTTTTAAAGTTATATATCATATGTTAGTTATATTAATTCCAAAGTATGTATGAGTTATGGCCTGATATTTCAGTTTACCTATAGGCTAAACATTACTTATATTTAATAAGATGCATACCTAGAATAAGCAATATTGAGATTCTGTTCCCTCAATCTCTTTCATACATAAGTTAGTTTAATTTATAGATCACTAAGCCTGGATAAGACACCCATCATAATCTTTGTCAATCTCTTTCATACAGAAGTAGTTAGTTTAATTTATAGATTACTAAGCCTGGATATAAGGCAACCATCATAGTCTTTGTCCATCTCTTTCATACAGAAGTAGTTAGTTTAATTTATAGATTACTAAGCCTGGATATAAGGCAACCATCATAGTGTTTATCAAACACAAAATATTACACAAGGTATATATACAAGCCTGGACATAAGACAACTGTTATAGACATTGTTTGATACATATTATCACACAACGTATATATATTGTAATATACAAGTATACTTTATGTGATAATTGGTGTTAAAAGTCTGTTACAGGTGCTTTCCAGACTTGTAGATCATGAGTGGAGAGTGCATAAAATTTAAGTTCCATTCCCACCCCTCCGTACACCATAAATGATAAACTCGGCTCAATGTTAGCTTTTAAAAATACTTTGTAGTCAGGGTTTCAATAGATTTAAAATACAGATGTGACCTCATTCTTTGATGTTGGCGTACATTATTTATAGTAGTTGCAATTTTGGACCCGCGTGACATATTTCATTGCATAGCACATGTGAGTGTCTGTCTTTAAGTTGTTTAATGGTCTCAAGCTTGAGACATTGCGTAATATATTGAAACAACACAAGGGGGCCATTAAACTACAAATAACAGTAAAATACTCTGTGACCGAAATTCCATCAGAATAATTCAACACAATGGTACTTTCTTTCCATTGCATGTTAACTTAAAAGTCGAAAGTGACCACATTAAAACATTATTATGAATATTTATTTTTTATGCCATTTGTATCTTGTAGAGGTATATCTTCTTTAATCTCATTATTTACTAGAGTGTCTGTGTCACTACTTGCGTCAGGGGAACTATAAGGCGTCAACGGACCTGAGTATGTATAAAAACATGTCATGATGGCAAACAAAATAATATCTAATCCCATCAAGGCAGCAAACAGAAAAAATTCAGCTGTCTGAAAAAGAAACAAATATTAAATACAATTTAAAAAAAAAAAGAAATTGGCTAACGATTATTTTTGTGGTCTAAGGGGAGATAATATGACCAAAGGGACAATTGTGCAGAGTTATTTCCCTTAAATAATGCTGTGGCTTAATGATAGCTTTTAACATTGCTCACATTTCTTTTATTCAGAGAATAGTATTTGCTTTCTTGAAAAAGCACCTATACCATAAAGTTGTACTTTTTGCATTCATTCAAAAATTGGTATGGCCTTTATAGCTTTATAGATTACTTCATTTCCACAAATTGAATAAATCTAAATGTTTTTCTTCAATGTACAAATACGGAGATCCCTTGTAAATGCCCAGCTGATAAATATATACTCTAGATGAAGACAGTCAGTGATATATGTAAACCTGATACACACCATCTCTCTCACAGACATATAGAGAGAAATGGAGTATAATGTCCACTCGACACAAACTAGGTCATTTTGGTACTAACAAATGGTTCAATTTTATTTCAATAATTAGCTTGTGCATAGGGGTCTTTAGCAGTGGGAGGAAACCGAATGACCCACAGAAAACCCATGAGGTTGGACAGACAATCCTAGTCCTTGTCACGTACAAGTGGAGAATCGAAACCACAGTACTTGACTCAAATGACAGACCTTGTGATTTCATGCGAATGCGCTAAACCATTAGACAACCCAACCCCACTCTCACAGGTAAACCCAATATTATATTGCATCGAGTAAGCATATCCTGCCTTGCGTATTTTTCCTATCACAAATAAATATTATGACTATTACCTGGCTTGGAATTAATGATATCTCAGCAACAAAAACAACAATAAGATTACCAACAGCTGTAGTAGTTAACCATCCAGCTTGTACAACAGATTTCATTGACTGTGGTGCCTACAATAATATACATGTACGTTCCTTTAAAATTACATTATAATTCCTGATTTGTAAATGAAATGGGGTTTAACGTCCTACTTCCTGTATCCTATAATGTAATCTAACCTACCGGTATGTTTTATCACACTATGTCCTGCTAATGACAGAGTGTGGTGTGATTTAACGTCCACGACACGAAAGAGGTCATTTTGGGACTAACATATCGTTTAATTTATTTCAATAATTCGCTTGCGCGTAGGGGTCTTTAGCAGTGGGAGGAAACCGGAGGATCCGTAGAAAACCCCTTGAGGTTGAACAGGTGACCCAACTCATTCTAACATACAAGCGGGGAATCGAAACCAAGCCACTTGACTCCATGAAAGACCTTATGATACAACATGCATGCGTTAACCATTTGGCCACCCAACCCCCCGGTCCTGCTATGAGAGTGCTATATAATCGAATATAAATAACTGTCAAGGGATCTTTTACATGCACAACAAACAACTAGACACTGCCAGGCCATCTGTTCTGCACACCTGACAGGTGGTGTAGGCCATCTGTTCTGCACACCTCACAGGTGAAACCACGCTGGAAATTTCTGAGGAACTTTTCTAGCCAACACCGGGACTGAACCCGAGACCTCCTATTTAATTAGCCATCAACTTACACCACCACAGCTCACAGTAAATAAAAGTGAAAGTAATATAATATATTATCCTACCTCATTATAGGCAAATGAAAGACCTGTTACAGAGAACAGAACCTCGCCTATAGTTATAACTATATATTGTGGTATCATATAGAACATCGACACCTGATTTACATCTACACTAGTATGAAGTAACTCTTTTACCTACAGATATACAATACATAATATACAATATACAACATAATATACAATGCAAACAGTTCTAAATCATCTAGAACCAGTTGTTGCCATGCATGATACACCCACATTTTGCAAGAGATGGATAAAGAACAAGGTAAAAAAACAAATGATTTTTTATACAATCATTCGCCATAATCTAGGAAGTTATCGTTTGAAATGCGCAAATATCGAAAGGAACAGAGATCTTTGGGATATAAACATATATTTTACGTTTCATTAACATAAGACAAAAATTGTGACCTCTTAGAAGGTCTACAACCTTCGTATAACATACTTTTACACTATTTGCATACAAGAAGCGGCCATTATTTCGGACAGTTTAGTTTTTCCTGAATTTAAACTCAACCTTTATCACGGTGTAACGGTGATATACATGAACGTTTTTTTAAATCAGATAAAAATTGTGACCTCTAGAGGATCCACAAGCTAAAAAGATGATTTTTGTACAATCAAGAGCCATAATCCAGGAAGTTACGGTCCGATATGCACGATTATTGAAAGGATCCGAGATCTTTCGGTTGTAAAGATACATTTTAAGTTTCATCGAAATCAGATAAAAATTGTGACCTCTATAGTGTCCACAAGTTAAAAGTGTGATTTTTCGTACAATCTGGGGCCATAATCAATTAGGTTACGGTCTGATACATCTCAATATCGAATGGAAGATAGACCTATATTTCAAGTTTCATCAAAATCAGATTAAAATTGTGACTTGCAGAGTGTCCACAAACAAATTGTGGACGTACGGACAGGGGCGACAACAATATACGACCACATGAAAATGTGAGAAACTTCCAATCAATAGTGGACGGACGGACAGGGGCGACAACAATATACGACCACATGAAAATGTGAGAAACTTCCAATCAATAGAAACAGGTAACAAAAACCAATTACAGGCGGTTTCATGGGATCAATTATGACTTAGTCAAAATGATGCATTTGATATTCAGATAAGTTGATATACAATAATTTAATAGAATTCAATATCAAAAAAACATTGTTTTATCCAATGTTTCGTCAGTAAAACTTCTTCAGGGATGAAAATGTGGGCGTATAAAAAGAACATTTTATTTTCATGATTTCTCTGAAACAAATTATTTACTTTGAACATGATATTTTGAATACAATATTTCAATTGTTAATATCCTTCTACCAGTATTTATCCTCCATCTTGTGGTCTAAGGGGAGATAATATGAATTTAGGGACTTTTATGCAGAGTTATTTCCTTTTAATTTTCTCAACCAACATGTTACAAACCTGTGAAGGATTATAGTCTCGTATATTATTGGATGTATATAGTAGAAGTGTATAAACAGCACCAGTTCCAAGTGTATATTCTTCTGGAAGAAAATATCTGGAGCTGGTTGTACCAGGAATAGAAATGGTGTAACTGAAAAATATTACGAAAAAAATCAAGAGATCCTCATATCAAATACCTGGGTCTAGTGAAACTGAAAAATATCATGAAATATATGAAGAGAGTCTCATATCAAGAGAAAAATTTTAAAAATTTTCAGTTTTATCAGATACTCATTTGAAGAGTTCACATAGCCTTTTTGTACTCTTGTATATGATCAAAACAATGAGTGTATTTCAGCTTTAAAACTGCAATCCCACAAAAATATCACCCATTTTGCTCTTTGAATGGCTAAAAGAACCACCCTGTATGATGAGTTCCAACACAGTTTGACAACATATTGAGTGCATTTCAATCATTTGATGATGTCAGGTAGGTCAGAAAAAAGAGTATCTATTTTGTTGTGTATACTCCCCTCAACATATCTGAAGACAAACAAAACCTGGCCCTTTATCCCCTCTGATGACCCTGATACCATGGCTTTTACTCATACTCACTGGTGCTGGGTATTGCCACTGCAGTCACGATATAATACATATGGCAATTCACATGTTCTGATACGAATCACGATTCATAACCAGGTCAATATTCGCCAAGAAAACAACAGGATAAATGAATAACTGATATTTTTGATCCTGCCGATGTCAAAGATATAAAAATGTTTTATATCCACGATATTGATCAAAATAAGGAATAAAACAATGTAAAGTGTTTGTGTAATGTGTGACACGTATAAGGTTACTGATTAAAGCTACAAAAAAAAAAAAAAAAGAATGGGTGATACATCCATTCAATATCTTACGATTCAATACATGAATAGCGATATACATACTAATACTTACCTTCCCGGTTCTACAGGATTAAAGTCTGTTGTATTAAACTGTGTTATATTAAATCGTAGGTGTTGATCTTTATCATCAGTTCGTATTAACTGTATATAATTATTATCTAATGGTACAGCTAGGTTATTTATAATACTACAATATAAACAAGTTATATATTTCATCACAGTTATAAGCCACAAAGGCGTACAATATTGTGAAAATTGTGTCTCTGAAAGGAATGTAAATCCATATATACCGGCGTAGCTCACTTTTGTTATAAACACGCAAATGTTACCTGTAATTAAGCGTTTGGTAAAATCTTTTGAAAGTTATCTTTTCAACTGTATTGAATTGAGTAATGGAGATTATCTAATGATGATGTGTGTGTGAAATAGCTTTATTTAAAAAGGTATTATGTAAGATTTAGATAAAGAGTTGACTGTTCTCACTATAATAGTTTAAAAATAGATATTGAAAAATGAATATATTGAAATTACTTTATTCAACCAAGTTATGGGTGTTCGAAGATGTAGCGCAGATTGTTTATTATCGTAGCAATGGTACTGGACAATCAACACTCAGGCTCATTTGTCCATTTTTGGTCTAGAGAGTTGGTTACAGGCTTGTTATGTGAATAAATGTCTAAATAATAGTTTATATAACATATGAAGCCAAAGAAAGATCTGAAATAAGCAGATTTAGCTCTTACGTAATGCATCGTTAATGTTTCCTTCTACTGAAGTGATGTTTTGATCAATTTATAACTAAAATAGTGACTAAGTTAGAGGGAGAGAGAGAGAGAGAGAGAGAAATGGAGTTTAACTCCACTTGACACAAACTAGGTCATTTTGGGACTAACGTACAGTTCATTTTTATTTCAATAATTCGCAGTGGGAGAAAACCGGAGGACCCAGAGAAAACCCACCAGATTGGACTAAGTTGGAGGAGTGACCGTTTATGAAAGAGATCAAACCAAAGAATTTCAACACAGGGAGTTTATTGTGACCGTTTACAAGATGTCACTGATTTTTCTTTTGATTTTTTTTTATAGTGTATGATCATTCCAGTCAGTTTTACCCCAAAACTGCACCCACACCCGACAGTTATGTTTTTTTTTAATGGCATCATCAGTCATGTCCTCACTTAACTTTCCTTAAACATGTTCACAACCCCAAGACAACGACAGTCCTAAATGATAAGACCAGCTCAGTTTTTCGTCATAGGTCACAAGATGTAAACAGGGCTAGCACTAATCCCAACCCTAACCCTAGCCAAAATGCTTACCCTAACCCTAACCTACAATCTCGCTAACAATCACGTTGCCCTAACCTTATTTACATCTCAGTGACCTTGACAAAAATTGAGCTGGCCTTAATAAATAGATATATTCGACAAAGATGGTTGATACAGATTCTACTGTACTTCAAACACTGACAATAAAAGATAAAACATGACATACCTAATAGATGCTCTTCCTGCTTTAGGTTTTGATCTCATATCTTCAAACTTAAAACAAAAAAAAATAACACACCTATATGATACACTCAACAATAGAAAATTCCACAGCTTAAAAACTCATGCTTAATGAAATGGGTTTAATGTCCTACTGTTCTGCTTCGACTAGGCTAATGAAGACGGGCATACGCCATACAGTGTGCTACAACCTACTCTTATATCAAATACCAACCGCCAAGGGATCTTTTACATGCATGCCATCGCATGCCTGCAGGGGGTCTTTAGCACTGGGAGAAAACCGGAGGGCCAAGAGAAAACCCACAAGGTTGGACAGAAGGCCCTACTCCTTGTCACGTACAGCAGGGAAATCAAAACCACGCCACTTGACTTGATGACAGACCATATGATACAGCGCGCACATGTTAAACCATTCGACCACCCAACCCCCAATTAAGCCATTAGATATTGTTTGAGAAATGCAAATGAAGATAAGGCCACACCCATTTAAATTTATGGCTTTCAGGAACCCCAATTTAAATAATGCTGCCTCCAATTTCTTCAAGACAAAAACAAAAAAAAAAATATTTTAATTAGATCTTCTCAAAAGCTTTTAGTTATATATATTTAAGTTTCAAAATTTAAAAAAAACACCGCACACAAACTGACTGGGTTATTTATTGAAGAACTAAAATTACTGTAACTGTACCTTTTTTATTTTGAATATTCCCTGTTTAGTTGTCATTAATACTAGCTGATACGAGTGACCATCTTTATAACTAGCATTAAATGTAGTCCTATAACCTGTAGTTTCACATTTACCACTTATACTAATATTATTCTCTTTAAATCTTATCAATTCAGATATCTAAAATATAAAGAAAAACACCTCTATAATAATATATAAATCTAATCAATTCATATATCGACAATGTTATCCTTAATTATATTATAAATCTAATCAGATATCTAAAAAATAAAGAAAAACACTGAAAATATTATCCTTAATAATAGTATAAATCCAATCAATTCAGATATTTAAAAAATATAAAGAAAAACTCTTTAAAGATAATCACGCAAAGTGAGGAAATATGCCCATACAGCAATTTTGTCTCAACAGCAGATTATCCGAAAGGAAAACTTGGATCTTGACCAAATTTAATAAGGATTTGGTGTCCTTTAAGAATCTAATCTCTATAAAGCTTTTTTGGACAAATAATATATCTCTGTAACAGAAAATCTTATATTGCTGAAAATCTAGATATCAAAATAAATCAGTTATATTAGTAAAGGTGATGAAAGACGGAACTTGGATATCTTTAAACATACATTATGCAAGAGCTAAATCTGTCTATTGCAGGTCTTTCTTTAGGTTTCAGATGTTATAGAAATTATTAATTAGACCTTTATTTACACGACAAGCTCAAAATCAACTCTGTAGACCCACGGATGGCTTGGATACAGTTTGGATTTAAGAGTCGTCCATTGAAAATTAAATCAATAAATGGCGGACCAAGTTAACGTTTACTGTTAGTCGCTGATGTCACTACTGGAAACTGGTGATGAAAGGCCAGTCAAGCGAGGCTATGATAGCCATTGAGCATGTTACTTGATAATCGAGAATATGTGGGTGGAGTTATCGTCTGTTAATCAAACGATCGTCAATTCTCATAGATGGTGCAGACACAATTGATGCCTATTTCTAGTCCAAACTTTCAACAGTGACAATTCCGTTCAGAACAAAGTAATTTGACTGAAATTTTCAACATTTTCTTTTTTTATCATCTATTTTTCAATTATTATAGCAAGAATGGCCAACTCTTTATAAAACTCTTACCTAATGTATCTTTAATGTCAATAACAAATTTTGTAAACTTGACAGAGGAGATAAGTTCACAACTTTCGATGATGAACTGAATTCAAGACTGAATAATCTAGACTAGTGATCACCTGTTAAAGACCTAGTGATCCAACCTACCTGATTTGGTTGTAGTATTTTTGAGTATATAGATGATGATATAGATATTGGACAATCTACAGTATTAATAAACGTTACACCAGATTCTACACTACTTAAATGACTTTCTTTATATGTCTAAAACAAAAACATATACTATCTTGATATATAAATTACGAAGTTCATACTGATTAAAATTTTATGATTAATTCTTGTAAAAAATGTTTGTTTTTCTTGAACGTTAGTAATGACTAATGTAGAGTAGGCCATAGCACCTCTGTCTGTGCAAAATTGTCCTCACAGCACACTGTACTGTGTACACGTGTCTTCATTGTCTCAGTTGATGCAAAAAGGCAAGATGTTAAGACCATGGGAAAAGCTTCATAATTATTTTTAAATAATGCAATAATTCTGTCAAAAATTATCCTTTCCATAAGTATAACACGATCCTGAATGTCAATGTTACCTGCCACAGTAAATTTCAACAGGTAGATTTCAGTCGTTCTTTGTAAGTAGTCGTAACTTTCCACCAATAAACAAGCCAGGATATAATTTTAGTCCTTACCCTATTATAGTCTATATTTCTATGAGCAGAAGGACTAAAATTACGTCTAGGCTTGTTTATTGGTGGTGACCTTTAAATCACATCTCATTTTTTATTTTATTTATTTATTTACAGAGAGAGAGAGAGAGAAATGTGGTTTAACATCCACTAGACACAAACTAGGTTATTTCGGGACTAACATATGGTTCAATTTGACTCGATGACAAACCTCATGACTTAAAGAGCACATGTTAAACTATTCAAACACCCAATCTCCCTTATTTACTTACATCTAATTTGATTTGTACAAAGCCTGCTATAACAAACGCTAACCCACCAAACATCATACCAACTACCATCTTCTGTAACGGTCTACAATACACAAAATATAACACTGATTATTATCTGTGAGAGATATTGAATCCCTTGTAAATTACAATACTGTCAAAGTTGAATCCCTTGTAAATTACAATACTGTCAACGTTGAATCTCTTGTAAATTACAATACTGTCAAAGTTGAATCTCTTGTAAATTACAATACTGTCAAAGTTGAATCTCTTGTAAATTACAATACTGTCAAAGTTGAATACCTTGTAAATTACAATACTGTCAAAGTTGAATCTCTTGTAAATTACAAGACTGTCAAAGTTGAATCCCTTGTAAATTACAATACTGTCAAAGTTGAATCCCTTCTAAATTACAATACTGTCAAAGTTGAATCCCTTCTAAATTACAATACTGTCAAAGTTGAATCTCTTGTAAATTACAATACTGTCAAAGTTGAATCTCTAAAAGGCATATCAGTCTAAAGAGAATTAGATTCTGTTCATTATTTACTAACATAAGTTGAAATGGAATATCTGTAACATTAAGCATCCTCTATACACAAGCCAGTGCCACCTACATGTTTTCAGTAAAATTTTTTGATGAGCCTCATTAAAATCAAGATTGAATCCTACCAGGGATATTATCAACCACTAACATTTTGGTTTTGTTTTCTAATTTAAATATTAAATAATCCATTTGAATCCAATTTAGCATGGATTGGGCAAATGAAGATCCTTGGATTTAACAAAAATAAATTGGAAATATCTAAAGCCCCGAAATAAAGTTTTGACTTTTAAGACCATTTAATAAGTGTATTTTCAGGGCAATCACTAAATGCCCTTGAAACATTTCATTATATAAACTGATGTGTGGTTAAAGATGGGTTCCCGCGTACAAACTGGGTGATTTAATGGCATATATGGACCAAAAACATATTCAAACTAATTAATTTGTCATAATTATGCTTCAAATCCTTCTCAAACATTGTAATTGCGAAGGAATGCCCTGCTATTAAAATTCGATCAAACCCGGTCATGTGACTTATCTCTCTTGGAAGTCAGAGGAGAATCCATTGCATACATAAGATGATGTTGTCTTAAATCGCTTACTATTTATTACAAATATCGAATCCTAATTAAATTCTCGGTTTATCCACTACCCACGTCTTTTTCCGTCATTTTTATCTCAGAAAGTGTTGTACGTCTAACTCTTCATAAAGTTTATCAACTTGTACAACAAGCGCTCAATGTTCACTTGTGACCTTTCACATAACGCGTGCAGAAGTTTTTAATCGTCGGGCTGTTGATTAGGGGAACCCTTACGTTTTTGTCCTGTATACGCTCCATGAGTGTTTTTCGGGGAATCCAGTATTTTTCTAGTAAGATTGAATATCTCTACTTTCCATATATACCAAAATTACCATAGTTTTATTGGAAATTACCACCCGATAAATACTTTTCTGGGAACCCATCTTTAAATGGTTGACATTAAATTAAGTACATTAAGTACTATAGTATTACTGCAAGAGGGCGTCAGTCTCAGTTTTGTATCAATATATTATGCAGTGTCTTGCTTGATACCATTAAACAAACTTAAAATACAGACACTAACCTGAACGTCTATTTCACACAAGTCGAATCTAGTATAAATATTGTATGATTAGCACTTTGCTCATATATCATTTGAAATAATAATACGCAAATATCAAAGGATGATGTCACTTTGGTATTTTAAGTGTGGTTTAATGGTTGAGAGCCGAGACATTAAGTAATATATCGTTACTGCACTCACTTAAAATAATGTGCCCACATATTATTTAAAATAATTATACACCAATATCAAAGGATGATGTCGCTTTTAAGTGTGGTTTAATGGCTGAGAGCGAGACATTAAATAATATATTGATACTGCACTCACTTAAATTATTTGAAATAATTGTACACATGTCAGTATTTTAAGTCAGTACTGCTGTCGTTTATTACCAGGATTACTATGGTTTTTTTTATTCAAATGATATATTTTCTAGAACATTGTTACTTTTTTTGAAAATGTTACATTTTTTTTAAAATTGTTACATTTTTTTAAAATTGTTATATTCTTTTTGAACTGTTATATTTTTTTTTTGAATTGTTACATTTTTTTTAAAAAGTGTCATATTTTTTTAAAATTGTTATATTCTTTTTGAACTATTACATTTTTTTTGAATTGTTATATTTTTATTGGTATGTTTTTTGATCTGTTATGTTTTTTTGAATTGATATATTTTAAAATTGTTATATTCTTTTCGAACTATTACATTTTTTTTGAATTGTTATGTTTTTATTGGTATGTTTTTTTTATCTGTTATGTTTTTTTGAATTGATATATTTTCTTTGAAATAAAAATTGTTATATTTTTTTTTAAAAATTGTTATATTTTTTTTATAAAATTGTTATATATTTTTTTGCTTTGTTACATTATGATTTTGATATATACCATGCCATTATTAAATTGGTTGAAAGCTATTAAGGCAACTATTATTTATCTGGAAAATGCAGAGGCTTATTTTCCCTCCAAAAAATAAACTAATTCTTACCTTGCTGGGATTTTACAATATTCTAAAAATGGATAAACTATATGTTCAAATATAGGTATCAAAACTAAGATCAAAATAGGATTCAAAACCTGAAAAATATATAAAACAAATTAATAATATAGAAAGTTGATGAGACATCCCTCAAATCACACCGATGCCAACCAATGGGTAAACAAATATTTTACTCTCCAATTAAATATGGTTTAACTATACAATTAGAATGGTCATACTCATAGTCAATTTTAACCAACTATTTAGTTAAGATGCGGGTTCGCTGACCAGGAGATCTTGGGTTCGCTCCTGATGTTGGCAGAAAAAGTTTCTTTGGACGGAGGGGCTGACAAGGACAGCAGTCTAGTCGGTCGGATAGGATGAAAAACCGAAGTCGCATGTACACATTGTCCTGCACGTAAAAGAACCTTTGAAAGTTGGAATTTGAAATAAGAGTAGGCTGCAGTGCAGCTGTCCATGCCAAATTTTTCTCACAGCATACTTATTGTATAAGTCTGTCTTCATTATCCCAGTCAAAGTAGAACAGTAGAAGGTTAAACCTCATTTCATTTCTTTGTCTTTTTTGTTTTGTTTTGAGTGTTTCTAGTCAAAAATTATGTGTGGTGCGGTGCTCCTGATAGACGATTGTGGCAGCACTGCCCAATCAGGGGCGCCGGATTACCCGGGTACCAGGGTATACAAATGGTACACTGCCCTTTTCTGGAGTATACATGTATACCCATGCCCTAATGATGAAAGTTTTCAACCTTTTTACTAGTCTAATCACATTATCAGCTATCAGTGCATGCTTTTGTCTCTTTCATTATCATGTATTTTAAAGGGTTTTATGTTGGGATTCGGAATGCTAGAGGCGCTCAAAACAAATTTTAAAAATTTTCTAGAGGCTGGGAGGAGAGACACCCCCGTACCCCACCCTCCTGGAAGCCCCTATTTTTTGGTACCCTGGCCCTCGTGCCGCTCCTGTGCCCAATAGCCGTTTAGGTTGTGAGTTGGCCTGTATAACTCAAATCAACTGAATTTGAAATACGTTACCTGTAATTGATCCGGTTTTATACGACCCCATGACCCCTGAAAATAAATTCATCGTAAAAATTACTATGAAAATTGTTATGCTAATAGTAGAAAGAAGGGATGAAAAGGTCAATTAGTCTTTATTTTATTTTCATTAATTAGTATTTAAGTACTTATAATTCTAATGTTGATAAAACTCAATAAACATACCACATGGCCATCCATTTGTTCAGCTTGTAACGTCCATCTTGAACCCTGAAATAATATGATCAAATTAATATTTATAGATTTACTCTACAACATTGCTAGGAAAGCGATTAAAATATGATATTCTGAGAAGAATGATTTTAAATTTAGTCAATATAGGTTTATGATATCTAAACAATCTTCATATATACAGGATTATCCATCCAAAATAGTTATCATTAGGCATATTCAACTAAACACTTTATCCCGGACGAAAATTGTACCTTGGTCTCACCCCACTAAAGAACAGGGAAAAAATGGACCGGTACTCAATAGCAGTGTGCTAGTCAAATAACTTTGAAGTGACTTACAACAATGGTAGTGACAGTGATGTACAGAAGATCTTGCCGTTACAAATCAACAGCTTCTGTCATAATGCGCACTTTGTAGATCAGTGGAGAGAGAGAGAGAGAAATATGATTTAACTTCCACTAGACACAAACTATGTCATTTTGGTATTTTTAGCTGTGGGACAAAATTGAAGGAACCCACGAGGTTGGGCAGGTGACGCTACTCCTTGTCAAGTACAAGTGTGGGCTCGATGAATCAATGACAGACCATATGATCTAAAACGTACGGGTTGGACCATTTGACAACCCAACCCCCCGTCATTATTATTATTATGAATATCATTCTTACCTGTTGATCAAACAGAGCCCAAAATACTGGTAACGGTAAAAATAACCATAATACTCTCATCACACGTTTTACATTATCTATAAACTCTGGCTAGAATAACAAACAATTTACAACAAACAATTTATCTCCCCTATATTCATCATATAATCTCTCGTTCTTACAAAATTTTTACACAGTTTGATCTAATCAATGATTAACTAATTCCTTGCTTATCTTCAGTTTGATCTGATCAATGTAGTTAACTATCTCCTTAACTTTCTTCAGTTTGATCTAATCAATGATAATTATCTCCTTAGTTATCTTCAGCATGATCTAATTATCTTCAGAATCAGCAAGATCTAATTATCTTCAGCATGATCTAATTATCTTCAGCATGATCTAATTATCTTCAGCATGATCTAATTATCTTCAGCATAATGTAATCAACGATAAATACCTCCTTAATTATCTTCAACATGATCTAATCGATCTTAACTATCTCCTTCATTATCTTCAATTTGAAATAATCAATGATTATTACCTCATATTTATCTTCAGCATGATCCAACCAATGATTCTTTTTCTTCTCAGTTTTATTCCTTGTACATTTTTTTGCAATAGCATGCTGTATAATGGAAATAAGAGAGAGAGATAAATGACTTTAATGTCTACTTGACACAAATCAGGTCATTTCGGGACTAACATAAGGTTCAATTTTATTTCACTACTTTGCTCGCATGTAGGGCTCTTTAGAAGTGGGAGGAAACCGGAGGACCCGGAGAAGACCCACAAGGTTGGACAGGCGACCCTACTCCTTGTCACATACAACCGGGGAATTGAAACCTCGCCAATTGAAACAACGACAGACCTTATGATTCAACGTGCACATGCTAACCATTCGGCCATCTAACCTCCCGTATAATGGAAACAAACACCATTAAAGATACATTATGTAAGATTTAGGTAAAGAGCTAACAGTTCTCGCTATAACAGTTCAAAAATAGATAATCAAATTTCGGTCATATTACTTTATTCTGAGCAAAGTTATGAATGTTGTAGGTTTTTATAAGAATAACATAGTCTTGATTGTCATTGCTACTAATAAAAATACAAGCTTTAAAGAATAACCTGCAGACAGATCTCGAACCACCCACACAACTACCAACATAGTATGAAAATATTGGCACAGATGGATTTTGATGCGAGTTTAAGACTAAATAACTTATTTATAATTTTCCTTCAGCAGTGTCAATCAAGCTACCTACCCAGTTCCGAAGTTATTCGTTTGGACACAAGTGTTGATATTTTGAGACAGTCCCTTAGTATCTTAATGGATTTAATGTGGGAATGTACTGAATACCTTTTACTAATTTCCCCTTTGAAACAAGAAAGGGAGAGAAATTAGGTTTAATGTCCACTCGACACAAACTAGGTCATTTCCGGACTAACATATATGGTTCAAATTTATTTCAATAGTTCGATTGCACGTCGGGGTCTTTAGCAGAGGGAGGAAACCGGAGGACACAGAGAAAACCCACGAGGATGGACAGGCGACCCACTCCTTGTCACATACAACCGGGGAATCGAAATCATGCCAGTTGACTCAACGACAGACCATATGATATAACAAGACGCATGAACCATTCGGCCATCCAACCAATGCACTTTGAAACAAACTCACCCATATACATTTACAAACTTTAAAACAAACTCACCCAAATACATTTACAAACTTGGCCTATAACATTACCACTTAATGGTACCATTTTATATTGTTTTCTACCAGCAAAAAATATTACTGAAACAAAACACGTAAAACATAGCCAGCTTACTCAAACTATTTAACTATTGTTGATATTTTGTGACATTAAAGGTCACCGGAAAAGGTTCATAATTTTTTTAAATAATGCAAGTAATTATGTCAACATATCCTTTCCATAAGTATAACAAGAACCCGAATGTCAATATTACCTACAACAGGTAAGTTTCAACAGTAGTAATTTCCGCCGTTCTCCGTGTGTAGTCGTAACTTTCCGTAAATAAACAATCTGTGACGTCATTTTAGTCCTTCGGCTCATATTCTAGTCTATATTTCTATGTGCAGAAGGACTAAAATGACGTCACGAATTGCTTATTGACGGAAAGTTACGACTACACACGGAGAACGGCGGAAATTACTACTGTTGAAATTTACCCTTTTCAGGTAACATTGACATTCGGGATCATGTTATACTTATGGAAAGGATATGTTGACATAATTACTTGTATTATTTAAAAATAAATTGAAGCTTTTCCGGTGACATTAAATGAAATGGGGTTTAACTTCACACATTTCTGCCCCAACTCTTATATCGAACTCCAACGGTAATGGGTTCTTTTATATGCCATCCGAATGACTAGACAGCTGTCCTTGTCAGGCCCTCCGTCCTCCACCACTGACAAGGGGAACTCTCTCGACCAACACCAGGAGCGAACCCGTGACCTATAGCATCTTACACGCTTAGCCACCGTGGCTCTCTGCTAAAATGATTAGACATTTGTCCTTGTCAGGCCCTCCGTCCTCCACCACTGACAAGGGGAACTCTCACGGCCAACACCAGGAGCGAACCCGCAACCTATAGCATCTTACACACTTAGCCACAATGACCTGTGATAGAAACAGTTAAACTGTACTTACATATAGCTACAAACATTAATAAGGCAGGAACACCAAATGCTAAAGGATAACAACTTTTACCTATACAATGTACATCAGCTGTTTAAAAACAAAAAAATACAAATACTTTAGATATTTCTTTCCATCTAGATCTTGTCTTCAAGTATATTAACACTTTAACACTTAAGACTTACCTTTAAGTAAGGGAGATATGATAGTATGGTGGACTGTATACACTATTGACTTACCTCTAAGTATGGGAGATATGATAGTGGATAACATGCTGCCTAGATTTATCATGAAATAAAATACAGAAAAAAATGTCCGTCTTTCTCTTTCCTGCAATAAAGAAAAGAGAATTTAGCAAGCAAAAGAAAATCACAGAATATTAATCAAATTTCTTTCAGTGAAAGGGGTAGATATTTTGTTCATCAACAACAGGACAATGATTCATCCCATAAAACTACACCATTTTGAATTTAAGTACTTCAGAAACACCTACTATAGTATTTTATTTCTTATTTCTCGGGGGGAAAAAAAAACTTAAAAAAAAACCCTACTTAGTTGCTCTTCTCAGAATCTTTTAGTGACAAATTTGTAACTTTTGAAATGTTAAACAAAACAGTTTTCACACAACCCATGTGGCTATTTATTTATTTATTTATTTACACGTGCGTGCTGCAACATAAGGTCTGTCATTGAGTCAACGGGCGTGGTTTCCATTCCCTGGTTGTACATGACAAGGAGTCTGTCCAACCTCGTGGGTTTTCTCCAGTTTCCTCCCACTGCTAAAGACCCCTACATGCAAGTGAATTAATGAAATAAAATCGAACCATATGTTTGTCTTGAAAAGACCTAGTTTGTGTCGAGTGGATATTAAACCCCATTCCTCTCTCTCTCTCTCTCTCCCAAACATTATGAAGATGAATAAATCACTTCTCATTTAACCTAAAGGAGGGAGTTCAGTCAGAAAATCATAATTACACAAATACAATAATGAACACAATATTATAACAGATGAGATTCCAAGCTTTTATTCAACATTTATTTTATTAAAATCGATTGAGGGGTTAAGATTTTATGGAGGTTTTTAATCTGAAAAAAAGTCACATTTCGAAGACAATGGCTCCTTGATTAACACAATATTTTGAATCTTATTGTTATTAAACTATAACTTAGTCATTTTAGACGATATCTAAATAAAATTTTACAACATTAAAAATTGAATATATCATCACAAGAATTCGTAAAAAAATTGAAAATATTAATTTAAATAATTTATGCTAATTAGCATAATGCGAATCTAATTAGCATAAAATATGCCATTTTCTCTCTTTTCTCACATATTTCTTAAGTTATAAACACTACTGTTGAATTTTAACCATGTATTGGTTTTTGTATGCGATGACAAAAATAAATATGCACGTTACATTTTATCTTATGCAAATTAGACTATCTAATTTGCATAATATGACCTAATTTGCATAAATTTATCATTTATTTTAACATTAAGTCAGCAAACATAACATACTTATATTGTAGTACTGAATAAATGTTCATCTAGTTGAGGGGAATTTGCTGCAAAAACAAGGCAGCTAATTATCATAATGCATACTAAATTTGCATATTACGCACCTAATTTGCATAATTTTAGCTATTTTTACTCTGTTTTCATAATTTCATTAAAAATCAAGCGTGTAACATAACATAACTTATCACATTGTAGTACTGAATAAGTGTGCATCCAGTTGAGGGAATTTGATGCAAAAACCCCCAGTTAATTATCATAATGCAAACTAAATTTGCATATTATGCATCTAATTTGCATAATTTTAGCTATTTTTACTCTGTTTTCATAATTTCATTAAAAATCAAGCCGTGTAACATAACATAACTTATCACATTGTAGTACTGAATAAGTGTGCATCCAGTTGAGGGAATTTGATGCAAAAACCCCCAGTTAATTATCATAATGCATACTAAATTTGCATATTATGCATCTAATTTGATAATTTTAGCATTTTTTACTCCATTTTCAGCATTTAGCTATAAATTAAGTCGTCTAACATAACTTGTCATATTGTAGATCTATTATCAATCCATTCAGAGTTAATACCAAGCTTTTAACAGTGTGTTCCTGTAATACAAAAAAAATAAAAATAATGATTAAAATCTAGTAAATTTTAATGAAATTGTTCTATGTTATTTTTTTAATTGGAAATATCTAATTAAAAATACAAATATGGATGCTGTCACTTTTTCATTTTGAAATGACATGTTCGATCAAAGGCAAATAACTTAAAAAATTTAATTGCCAGGTGAGAATTTGACTTGCACAGGTATTCTCCTATAAATCAAGTAATGTAGGACTTTTTAATGAATTATATTAAAAAGCTTAATGTCAATATATGTTCTTTAGATATCAAATTATTTTCATTATGTCTGCATGGTACAAAATAATTGACTGGAGGTGTAGACTAAGCCTTATAATATATTTAATTATTATAGAATTGATGTGTAAATGTTATACAAGTTTGTAAATTTAACTATAGATGTATTGTTAGAACCAGTGATGGGATTTTACCCGTATATTCCGGACTTGTCCGAATCTTTTTCCGAAATGCCCAAAATGGTCCGATCGGGAATATGCCCAATCGGACATCAAGACATGGTGAATAATATTCAAATTCCAAAATTAATATAGTGTACTGAGTGTATAACTACCGTGCAACCCGATTATCGTTGATAATAGGCTGGATTGATTAGGGAATTAAGTGATCGACTATTTATCGTGTTATATCGTCTACACACCTACCTTGATTAACTACTTATTCTGCCTTGATTGGTTGACTTAATTCTTTATCGGACAATTCATCAAATCAATCCTGAACAGAAGTCATTGTTTCTCCTTTGTCGGACGATATATCAATCCAATAAGAGTGATTATAAACTTAATCTGATTAACCTGTGATTTCTCCATTGTCTCACGTTTTAATCTCCTTTGTGTCAGACAATAACACGTAGAAATTATTCATATATGTCACATATTCACTCCCCATGTAATCTTATTTTGTCAATTTCAATCATAAAATAAATATTTATTTCGCTAGAACAACGTTATTTGAAGAATGTTCCTTTTAATAATAATTGTTACAGATAACATTGACCATGCCAAATAGAATATAAGGCTTTGGCTTTTATTTGTTTATAGCAAATAAAAAAGATAAACAAATTGAAATAATTCAATGTGAGCTTGTTTAGGGAGAGACAATAACTTACGGAACATCCATTTCGTCATTGCGCATGTGCCAAAAAACCCAAATTCAACAGCGTTTCATTTAAAATGGTGTCTTTAACACTATTCTTGTTATCATTCACTCCCCTAGTATTCGATATATTACATCATTTCGTTCATTTTATATAATAAATTTAGTTCAGTACTAACAGAGCATACAAATTGGGGGGGGGGGGAAGTTGATATCTTACCAATACTGGTCTGATTTACCAAACAATCAACAGTAATATAGTTCGTTGTATCCGTAAGTGGAGAACTGTCAAGCTCGTCCATTTTGGGGTCAAGTGGTGAAAACCTCCCGATACAAAATACAATCTGCACATGATTTTATGAATGAAAATTATTTAATATTTGTAATTAGTAGTTCGCTAACTTGTTGAACTATCATAATATCGGTGCCTCCAATAAATTTTTTATTCGAGTCTATCAAAATTTCACTTAAATGTCACTTACCTTTCATGTTTTTACTTCTCGTTTCCGGCCGTCTGCTCGTATCAAAATGAGGCACACACGATCGGAATCTACGGAAAATTCCGAAAACATCCATGTACGGTTTATTTGGGTGAGCAAACTCGAAATCGTGTCTATTTATAGACGAAGAGGGGAACCCGTTATATTGAGAATGTCAAAACGGTGCCGTCAGTGGAGCGGTAACAAAAAGTAACGTAGTTTCAACGATAAATATAAATAACTACAAGACAATTCCCCGCTTAAAAAAAAAACCAGATTATTTTGAAGCAGGATGTTTAAATGACATAATGATAAAATACTTTGCATGTAAAGTCAAGCGATATTGTTTGTACTAATAAATAATTTAATGTAAAAATTTATAGATTCGCCATTATTCATGACGTACGACGTCACTGACTGAACTCCCTACCTAAAGTCTGTTTTTGTACTGTTGTTGTGCACAGATTTTTAAATATCTGTTACTGTCTGCTACAAAGAAATGCCAGCCGTCAAACCATTGTTATCCTTTTAAGAGAGTGTTGTCGTCCCCCTTCTATTGCTAAGTCTCAAAGAAGTCTTAAAGAACTAAAAATTAAATTAAGACAGATGTTTATCAAAGAAGTCTCAAAGACCTAAAAATTAAATTAAGACTGATGTTTATCAAAGAAGTCTCAAAGACCTAAAAATTAAATTAAGACTGATGTTTATCAAAGAAGTCCCAAAGACCTAAAAATTAAATTAAGACTGATGTTTATCAAAGAAGTCTCAAAGACCTAAAAATTAAATTAAGACTGATGTTTATCAAAGAAGTCTCAAAGACCTAAAAATTAAATTATGACTGATGTTTATCAAAGAAGTCTCAAAGACCTAAAAATTAAATTAAGACAGATGTTTTTGTTAAACTAAATTATTTATCTGATCAAAAAATTGGGAATGTGTATCTGATCTGATGTGAGTATCTCTCCTGTCATGTTTGTTCTATCATTGATTGTGAAGCGAGAGAGAGAGAGAGAGAGAGAAATGGGGTTTAACATCCACTCGACACAAACTAGGTCATTTCGGGACCAACATATGGTTTAATTTTATTTACATAATTCGCTTGCGCGTAGGGGTCTTTAGCAGTGGGAGGAAACCGGAGGACCCGGAGAAAACCCACGAGGTTGGACAGGCGACCCTACTCCTTGCCACGTACAACCGGGGATTCGAAACCATGCCAGTCGACTCAATGACAGACTTTATGATACAGCGCGCGCACGCTAACCATTCAGCCATCCAACCCCCTGATTGTGAAGCAGTTATCCTACATTGTCTGCTGCATACACTGTCTTCATTAGCCCAGTCGCTACAGAAAAGTACAATGTTACCCCCCCCCCCCCCCTGGCATTTTATTTCATTAATAATAATCATGTAACCATAATAATAATTATTACAAATCCCTACTTGATCTGATGAAAACTGATCTCCTCCCATAGCAGATACACAAGGTTTTATACCACCCGTTCCTATTCCTATTAATATTAATCCTATCATTGGTCCATATCTATAATAAAAATTAATAAAATAAGCAACTGAACATATAGGGAACATAGGTCCATGACTTTAACAATTTGTGGACAGAAGGACAAATTAACTGATGGACAGGGGTAATGACAATATACTCCCCTTATTATTAATCAAGATTAGTAACAGTTTTACCCTATGTACGATACATATTTTTTTGAATTTAGAATATGATTCATTATTAAATCTAATTGGGTATTTTCCTGGTCGAACATTTGGCATTTTGCGTAGGACATGTCCAGGATATACAGGTGAAAAAGCATCCATGGTATACATATATCAATTATAATCTTTGCTTTGGGCCAAGATTTGTCAAAAATAGTTGTTATTTCATTTTATAACAACAATTCTTTGTGGGCGTAAATAAATCAATTATAAATTTTTCAAGCTTGCAGACTCATTTGATTCACAAGAGTTTAATTAATAACTTACGCTTCTGGCGGTGGAAGAGCTGTTAATGATAAAACTGTATTACCAATAGCATAAAGTATAGATAAGTACATTATAGTCCTGAAAGAAACAAAATTTGGAATGGAATAACATATTCTCAGAATTATACATTGGAGAATTTCAATTAATATTGCGAATTTTCCTTGGGGCAGCTTTTGTTCCTTACTCTGTTTTGAATTCCTAGAGTTCTTTTACCTAACCAGACCCAATCTGTTTCACAGAGATCTTCTAATATCTCTGTAACAGATGACTGTTTCGACACGTGGCGTCACATCATGCGGCGTCAATCATTGGCTCAATAGCGCGTGCATTGTTTACATAAGACGTTAATGATTCGGGCTAAATGAGGAATTTTACTTATTTTAATATCCATTTACACTAAATAGGAAATGATTTTTACCTACAAATAATTCAAACGTCTTTATTTATTTTTCTAATAAATGAAAAACATGTTTTAGTATTTAATTTGACAGAAGAAAAAAGTTAATATTTGGGACTCATTAAGTCGCATCGATGTCATCCTTATCAGTGATTGTAGCAGCCTAGTGAAAATTCACTGCTAATCAGTGTGAACCAGACCCTCATTGTTATAAATTATACAGTTGGAAAGGTCAAACAAAGATTTCTCTAGATTAAGGTAAACCAATTTCGATTATTTTTTTCCAGGCCAATTTTCTTTGTAGTTGAAACAGAGACAATTGATGATACTAATTCTGCTTTGATGAGTCAAGTTCCAGGGGGTAGGGGGGGGCGTGTTTGGGGGGGGATAGAGAAATCGGGTTCAACATCAACTAGACACAGTCATTTCAGGACTAACATAAGGTTCAATTGTATTTCAATAATTCATTTGCTCGTAGGGGACTTTATCTGTGGGAGAAAACTCACGAGGTTGGACAGGCAATCCAACTCTTTGTCATATAGGCCTACAAATGTAGGATCGAAACCTGTCACATGACTCAATGACAGACCTTTTAATCTAAAGCACAAGCCATAGACCATTCAGCCACCAAACCCCAATTCCAAGAAGTAGTTAATAATCAAATATATGCCAGAAAATCTTACCTGAATCTACCTAAATAACCATCTGCTATTATAGCTCCAAGTATGGGCGAAAAATAACACAACATGGTAAAAACATGGTAAATGATGGTAGCATGATCTGAGCTAAACATCAGCCATTTTGTTAGATAAATCACCAATATAGCTGTAAATAATAAACAGTTGATTGATATATGATTATATCCCAAACATCTCGAATACGCTCAATTTTGGCATTTATCAGACCATAATAGGAAATGAAATGAAATGAAATGGGGTTTAACGTCGTACTGTTTTGCTCCGAACTGGGCTAATGAAGACGGGCATACACCATACAATGTGCTATGAGGGAAATTTTGCCCTGACAGCGGCACTACGGCCTACTCTTATATCGAATTCCAACTGTCAAGGGATCTTTTACGTGCATACCAATGTGTACACGGGACCTTGGTTTTCCATCTCATCCGAATGACTCGACAGCTGTCCTTGTCAGGCCCTCCGTCCTGCATTACTGACAAGGGGGAAGTACGCCGAAAAATCCGGGTGAACTAGCGAGCCAGTGTCTTACCCACTTAGCCACCATGACCCCCAGACCATAATAGGACTATCACACTTCAAAACTGGTTCAATTCCCTGCAATATTTACAAAGTTATGATAAAATAAAATTTTATCTATCTTTGCTGCTCCAGTATAACAAGATTGCGACATCTTTTATTCATATTCAGAAAGCTGATGGGCCTAGTTTCAATTATCTAGTGATGATATTTTGATTTTGTTTCCTTAAACATACATTATGCAAGAGCTAAATCTGCCTATTGCAGGGTTTCTTTGGGCCTGAAATGTTATCTAAACTATCAATTAGACATTAATTAACTAATCCAGACCATAATAACTCTAGATGGCATAGCTAGCCTGCGATGTTTATTGGATTAGGTTCTGATTTGCTGTTCGATTTCCACTCATGACTTAATCTGGGTGATTTAATGGTATATATGGACTAAAAACATATTCAAACTAATTAATTTGTCATAATTTTGCTTCAAATCCTTCTCAAACATAGTTATTGCAAAGGAATGCCCTGCTATAAAAATTCAATGAAACCGGGTCATGTTTACGTCACGTGACTTACCTCTCTTGGAAGTCAGAGGAGAATTCATTGCATACATAAGACGATGTTGTCTTTAATCGCTTACTATTTATTACAAATAAATATCGAATCCTAATTAAATTCTCGGATTATCCACTACCCGCATCTTTTTCCGTCATTTTTATCTCAGAAAGTGTTGTACGTCTAACTCTTCATAAAGTTTATCAACTTGTACATCAAGCGCTCAATGTACACGTGATGTCAAAGGTCACACATGTGCAGAAATTCCTAATCGTCGGGCTGTCGATTCGGGGAACCCTTACATTTGTGTCCTGTATACGCTTCATGAGTGTTTTTCGGGGAATCCAGTATTTTTCTTGTAAGATTGAATATCTCTACTTTCCATATATACCAAAATTGCTATACTTTTATTGGAAATAACCACCCGATAAATACTTTTCTGGGAACCCATCTTTAAGCCAAGAAATTTGATATTTTAGCCAAATATGCAAATGACACATCAAGCCTTTAAGGTATTAACAGTTTTATTTATTTTTAATCAAATCAAATCTAAGAGGTCTGGTCAATTAAATTAAACTCCTTACTTACTTTTTAATCCATAGTAGCTAAACCTCTCACAGAATTCATTTCCTAATATATAATAAATACAAACAGGAAACTTTCTTCTTTTTCCACAGACATTCTGTAAAATAAAATATATGATGAATATGTTTACCAGTGGGAAAGAAAAAAAAAAGAGGTTTTGCTTCCACGCGACACAAACTAGGTCATTTTGGGACTAACATGGTTCAATATTAATTTCAATAATTCGCTTGCGCATAGGGGTCTTTAGCAAAGGGAGGAAACCAGAGGGGCTGGAGAAAACCCACAAGGTTGGATAGGCGACCCTACTCTTTGTCACGTACAAGTGGGGAATCGAAACCATGCCACTTGACTCAATGACAGACCTTATGATGCAACGCCCATGCGTTAACCATTCGGCCACCCTCCTTTAGCAGTGGAAGGAAACAGGATGACCCATAGAAAACCTATGAGGTTGGATATGTGACTCTACCTCTTGTGACATACAAGTAAGGAATCGAAACCACTCCATTTTATTCAATGACAGAAATTATCATATAAAGCTCATACAGCCACCTATCCCCCATCCTAAAAATTAAGAATAAAATTACATATATCTATAATAAATGTTATGATGAGTCTTTGGGAGCCATGTGGCTTAATGAGCATGGCACTGTTTGAATAACCATGAGGTCTGAGGGTTCGATGCCCTTGAAAATTCCTCAGGATTCTATAGCCATGCAGGGTATTGGGGTCTTATTGAGTGACTCATCAAAGCGTGGCGGTGGAGTAATCCCCCATATTTTTGACCCTCAGTGTGTACTAATGGGGAAGAAAGGGGAGTGGGTGGTATGAGACATAAAATGAGGAGGGGGGGGGGGGTATTAAGCTCTAGCTATGCTACATGATCTCAAGCATTTTCTTTGTTGTTTGTTTTTAAAAGTAAAATACGAATTTCTACCTTGCAACAACCTGATGATTTTTCCTTTTCCACTTCCATATTTTCTATGCCTACTGAATCTTTCAGCAATAACTGTTCAGCTTAAGTAAAATATAAAAAAAAAGAGTCATCATTCTGATAACCAAATCCTTATTACAGGGCACAGAAATTTGCCTTCTTACTTCTTAAGGAAACAAATGTATCTAAAAACCAAAAGTACTTCGTTGTGCTGTTCAACAGATTTTAAATAGAAATTTTAAACAAAACAACTTACATATGAATTAACCATGAAGAACTGAAAATTAAGTTTGTTTGGCTTAAGGCCACATCTATTACTAACACAGTCCTATTACCTCAGTTAATATTATTTTATGCATAGTTTAAATATGTAATTCAAATTCAGTTAATATCAATAATGCACAGTTTAACTGATAAATTGGACAATTATGTTGTAATTTAAACCAATACATTACTTTCTCCATTTTTCATATTCACAAATCAATATATGACAGCTTATATATATTGGTCTGTATTTGTATCATTTATTCTTATATATACAAAATATATATACCAGTATAGACTGCTGCTGGTATTTAAGTTTCGAACATGACAAAAGCTTCTCAAGCTCTCAATCTGATTTAAAGACAGATTCTATTTCGTTTCGTTTTTTATAGTTCAAAATTTCGTTTTACTTGTCTTTACTACACTAGGATCTGAAAGAGTTGTTATATAACCCGCGTTCTGAATGATGTGAGGGATTAGCCAATGAAACGGTCTGCTCCTGCGAGTTTTTGGCGTGAGGTGCACAGAACTCTGTGCAACCCACTAGAAACATCAACGCTGATTGGTTAATCAAATGTCTCGACGTCACAGGGTTAAAAGTCACTTGTATAATAATAATAATATCATCATTTATAAAGCGCGCTAACTGTGTATAAATTTAAAGTCAATCGGATATTAACTTTGACCTGTAGAGCGTCCACAAGATTTTTTAAAGTGATCAAGAGCCATAACTCTGGCAGTAATTATCGAAAATCGCTGAAAATCATTAGGCTTCTTCGTCTCATGACCTTAAACAGTGTGTATAAATTTAAAGTCAATCGGATATTAACTTTGGCCTTTAGAGCGTCCACAAGATTTTTTGAAGTGATCAATGGCCATAACTTTGGCAGTAATTATCGGAAATCGCTGAAAATCAATAGGCTTCTTCATCTCATGATCTTAAACACTGTGTATAAATTTAAAGTCAATCGTATATTAACTTTAACCTCTAGAGCGTCCACAAGATTTTTTTAAGTGATCAAGGGCCATAACTCTGGCAGTAATCATCGGAAATCGCTGAAAATCAATAGGCTTCTTCGTTTCATGGACTTGCACACTGTATATAAATTTAAAGTCAATCGGATATTAACTTTAGCCTCTAGAGCGTCCACAAGCAATTGTGGACGCCGGACCGACGGATGGACGGGGGCGACGACACTATACGACCACATTTCAATGTGGGCGTATAAAAACCGAAATATAGTTCTGTATTTTAATCAGATTGCTCAAGCTCTTAAAGTTGCAATTGCATATTTTTAAGTTATATTTTTAAAATTTATTAAAATAAAGCCTTAAAATAGATGGTATCTATAAACAGTCCTACCTGTTAATCCTATAATTTACTATTGCCAGTTGAGAAATTGGCAAAAATATCATTTTCATCTTAAAATTCCAACGTTTGAAGATAACAACTCCATGGTGGAGAATAGAAAACAAGAGAGGTAATTGGGAGATAATTGTGTTATTATCTCCGGTGTAAATGAGTTTTAAGTGTGAGAATGACACCTATGATCGTATAATAGTGAGTTGACAACCTATTGAGCAAAAGACATAGAAATAATTATATTTTTGACTTTCTCAGAAAATATGAAATTGTAACTATAAAGATGCATTATGTAAGATTTATATCAAGAGCTGGCCGGTATGATAGTTTAAAATTAGATAATGAAAAAATAATTATATTGAAAAGTCAATTTACTTGTTTCTGAGGCTGCATATCGTGTTCACAATATAGGCTTGATTGTCAAGTATCATTGTTATGAAAATAAACAAAGTCTTCATTATCCGTTTTTTAAATTAAATTATTAAATGTTGATCGTGTTTCAATCTATTGAAAATCTCGACCATCCGATGGTCTGAGGGTTGATTAAGGGCTTGTCATTTAAAGTTAGGAAACTGACCTGCAATAGGCAGATTTAGCTCTTACATAATGCATCTTGAATACACCCAGCAATGTCATATATGCTGACTCTAAAATCAGTTGCTGTATCTCATTTATAAAGTTGAAAACAAGAGAATATTCTGAATATCAATAGGGCTCCTCATTATGCTCCAATCAACAAATTGACAATTTCATGATTTCATATTAACAGAGAGAGAAATGGGGTTTAACGTCCACTCGACACAAACTAGGTCATTTCGGGACTAACATATGGTTTGATTTTATTTCAATAATTCGCTTGCGCATAGGGGTCTTTAGCAGTGGGAGGAAACTGGAGGACCCGGAGAAAACCCACGAGGTTGGACAGGCGACCCTACTCCTTGTCACGTACAACCGGGGATTCGAAACCACGCCAGTCGACTCAATGACAGACTTTATGATACAGCGCGCGCACGCTAACCATTCAGCCATCCAACCCCCTTCATATTAACACATAGCAAAATCAATATAAATGTATGTGCTTTAAAAACACACTACATAAATGTGTTTCAATAATTCATTTTTATACAGGCCAACAACTAACATTTTTGTTGTAAACCAAAGTTCAAATTTGCAGGCTTGTTCATTTGGTCACTGTGTTTTGCATTAGAAACTAACTGTACAAAAAAACTGAACAAGCATTAAGTCTAAAATTTTTTTTTTTGCAATCTGATAAAAATACAGATCTATATATCGTTTCGTTTTTTTATACTTTCGATGGCCTACACTACATGTAGCGATAGGTCGCGTCAGAGGTCATACAAGCGGCTTTTGACCCTATGACATCAGACATTTGATTAACCAATCAGCATTGATGTTACTAGTGGATTACCGACAGTTCCGTGCAAAACACGCCTAAAGCTCGCCGCAACAGGCCGTTTAATTGGCGAGTAGCTTACATTATTCAGAACACATTAATGATAACAACTCTTCCAGATCCTAGTGTAGTAAAGACAAGTAAAATGAAATTTTGAACTATAAAAACGAAACGAAATAGGATCTGTGTTTTAATCAGATTGCCTTTTTTTTGTCTTATCATGTTCATCCTATTCCTAGTGCAATTTTTAATCCATGTGGCCAAGACAGTTTTAGTATAGTTATTTTAGCAGAGGACTGAAAATTGTTTGTGCTGCTATCGCTTCTCTTTAATTCAGTCAATAACAACAACAGATTTCCTATTTTTGTGTCATTTTGGGAATAAGCATATCATCGATGGGGAGTCAAAAGGTCGTATCTGGATTTTGGGAAATTGTCCAGGAGAGCCAAAAATCACACAGAGGTTAAGAATCAAAATGTCTTATAAAACTGTCACGTCAAAATGTTGTATGTAAAATGTCGTATTTCTGAAGCTTTTCTTAAATATTTTTGTACAAAGTGTATGTGTAGCCATTAAAACAGCACGTAACTATCCGCATAGATCAAGCTCAACATCTAGTGCAAAAATAAAGAGTTAAAGCTAGTTATTTGCAATTTTATACAGCAAAGATGTATCTCAGGAAAATATTTACCTTTACCTGCTTGAATTTCATAGATTTCACACAGTAGAGGCTCAACAATAATTTCAATAATATGTATTTAACCCTAAAACAATACTGGCTATATTTCGTTTGATTGTAATACTTGGTTAGACACAAAGTTGATTTTTTTTAAGAATATACGACATTTTCAGTCCTAATATTTTTTTTTTTTGTAACACCCCATATACAACATTTTGAAACAATGTCTATAAAACCTCGCTTTCTTGGCTTAGAAATATGACAACCAGATGAAAAGATACGCAAGAAAATTCTAATTCTGAAGAAGTAAAAAAGTAAATTTTGCAAAATATGACAGATAGGACCTTTTGACTCCCCACCAACAATATCAAGTTTAATGATAAATCATGCAAACAAACGTTAAATATAATTTTATATGTAAAAATAATGTATATATATAATTTTGACACAAACCCACAATAACAAAAACAAACTATTTATATTTACTCAATATCTATAGGTTTAATGTTTATCTATACCAACCACATATCTTCAGGCTTTATTTCATCTTCCAACTAACTGTCACACTATTTCAGTCAATAAATAGTGCAGAGAAGTTGATGATGGTCTACGAACTTAAATGTCACCATTTAAATAAATTTTCATTTACTCAATACATCTCATATTATATTACACTGCCTATAGACATAATATATAAGGCCATACAGAAAAATATTCTGGTTTTTAGACAATCAGGAGGGTTGAGTGACTGAACGGTTGGCGCGTTGTATCATAAGGTCTGTCATTGAGTCAACTGGCATGGTTTCGATTCCCTGGTTGTTCGTGACAAGGAGTAGGGTTGTCTGTCCAACCTTGTGGGTTTTCTCTGGGTAATCCGGTTTCCCCCCACTGCTAAACACCCCAACGTGCAAGTGAATTATTGAAATAAAATTGAACCATATGTTAGTCCCAAAATGACCTAGCTTGTGTTGAGTGGACGTGTTAAACCACTAAACCGGTTTACTGGAATGGATCACTATTCAGTACCATTTATAATTGTTAATTTAGTGAGCCTATGGTACATTTCTGGATTTATTCAAATCTTACTTTCTGTAACAAGGGTAAAATATTTACGGATGGTAAATAGTTTTTAAGTGACAGCATACAAGTATCCGAAAACCACAATATTTTTTTCATATGGCCTAATAACAATATACAGTGAATCTGGTATATATTAGTACTAAACTATACATATATTATTGTATATAAGTGTACCATGACAGTTTATCTCTTAATCTAAACTACAGTTGCACCAGAAAATTTCAATTAATTATCACTGTAAAACTGGTACAGTTCACTTATTAATTGAGCCCTTTTACTCTTTTACCAGCAGCTGCCAGGCAGGATACGCCCACATTTTGCGAGAGATGGATAGAGAACAAGCTAAAAACAAACACGATTTTTTGTACAATCAGGGACCATAATCCAGAAAGTTATGGTCTGAAATGAGCAAGTATCAAAAGGGACTGAGATTTTTGGAATATAAAGATATGTTTTAAGTTTCATCAAAATCGAATAAAAATTGTGACCTCTAAAGGGTCCATAACCTTCGTATTACATACTTATCCACAATTTGCATACAAAGAGCGGCCATTTTGTCGGGCAGTTTCATTTCGATTTTCCCAAAATTCAAATTCAACCTTCATTATGGTGGAATGGTGATATATCTTAAAAGTTTTTAAAATCAGAAAAAATATTGTGACCTTTAGAGAATCCACAAGCTAAAAATGCGATTTTTCGACCAATCAGGGGCAACAATCCAAGAAGTTATGTTTGGCTATGTGTTATTATCAAAAGGAACCATAATCTTTATGATAAAAAAATATATTTAAAGTTTCATCCAAATCGGATAAAAACTATGGCCTCTAGACTAGGGTCAACAACCTTGATATACCACATTTTTACACTATTTGCGTACAAGGGGCGACTATTATGTCTGTCAGTTTTAGTCCGATTTTCACAAAATTCGAACTCAACCATCATTAGTGTATAACTGTGATATATTTACATGTTTTGTTTTTTTTAAATCGGATAAAAATTGTGACCTCTATAGGAACCACAAGCTCAAAACGCGATTTTTCGTACAATCAAGGGCCATAATTCAGGAAGTTATGATTCGATATGCATGAATATCAAAGGAACCAAGATCTTTGGGTTATAAACAAGCATTTCAAGTTTCATCAAAATCAGATTAAAATAGTGACCTCTAGAGTGTCCACAAGCTAAAAACGTGATTTTTTGTACAATCAGTGGCCATAATACATGAAGTTATGGTCCGATACATGCCAATATCGAAAGGAACTGATGGGAGTTTCGTTAAAATCTGATAAAAATTGTGATCTGTAGAGTGTCCACAAACACATTGTGGACGGACGGATGAACGGACAAGGGTGATGACAATATACGTGCCCATGAAAATGTGGGCGTATAAAAAAATTTACCATTAAAGCATACAAGTCCTTATTACTCATTTATATTTAGTAGTATACAAAATGGTTATAAATTATACAGTAGTCTTCTCTGAGCGGCATTTAGCAATTGACATACGTAATAAACACAAAAACATAACATGGAATACAATTACTATTTTAATTAATGTGACCTTTTGTTGGGGGTTCTCTCCACGTTTTCAAGCAAATGATGATAAAAATAATATACAGAAGGTTTATATACAAAAACAAGTAACAGCTAATTAACCATTACTAGGGATGATGTAATTAGCTGTAAAAGATGTTACAACTAATGGTAAAGTCGACTAATACTAATATCCATCACTATGAAATACACAAACCTAATCACTAGTTGTGTATATCATTTAATATTCATAGTCTTAATATCTTAGTGACAATAACACCTATATAATGACTAAAATCTAATTACTAATTATAATACCCATCACTATGAAATACACAAATCTCACCACTAGTTGTGTATTTCACTTAATATTCATAGTCTTAACATTTTAGTGACAATAACACCTATATAATGACTACAGTCTAATTACTAATTATAATACCCATCACTATGAAATACACAAATCTCACCACTAGTTGTGTATTTCACTTAATATTCATAGTCTTAACATTTTAGTGACAATAACACCTATATAATGACTACAGTCTAATTACTAATTATAATACCCATCACTATGAAATACACAAACCTAACCAATCGTTGTGTATTTCACTGAATAGATCTGTTTGTGACAAGGATATTTTTATTAGTAAACCACTTTCATACGTGAATGATATCAACTTTACAGTGTGTGTTATTAAAGCTGCAATTTCATATTTTTAAGTTATATTTTTAAAATTTATTAAAATAAAGCCTTAAAATAGATGGTATCTATAAACAGTCCTACCTTGTTAAAGAATAATCCTATTAATCCTATAATTCACTATTGCCAGTTGAGAAATTGGCAAAAATATCATTTTCAACTTTAAATTCAAACATTTGAAGATAGCTATTCCATGGGGGGAATTGAAAAACAAGGGAGGTAATTGTGTTATTATTTTCGGGGTCAAAGGATTTTTAAGAGGGAGAATAATACCTATAATCGTATAATAGTGAGTTGACAACCTGTTGAGCAAAAGACAGAAATAATTATGTTTTGACTTTCTAAAATATGAAATTATCGCTTTAACTGGTTAAAAATAAAATATATGAGATTTTAATAAATGCACAATAGTCCAGATAATTCAACAGTCGGCCCAAGAGTCTTATAAAGCTTATATCAGAATATGAAAACTATTACTACATTCAGTACTACCAGATTTATGAAAGAGTTTTGCAGGCTAAGAACTTGCACAAAAATTAATAATTCAGCAAAACTGCTCAGACATCACACAGGTTACCACAGGTAAAGTATAGTGGACTGTTAAAACAAAATGAAATGAAATGAAATGGAGTTTAACGTCCTACTGTTCTGCTCCTAACCTGGGCTAATGAAGATGGGCATACGCCATACAGTGTGCTACGAGGGAAATTTTGCCCGGACAGCGGCACTACGGCCTACTCTTACATCGAATTCCAACTGCCAAGGGATCTTTTACGTGCACGCCAATGTGTACACGGGACCTCGGTTTTTCGTCCCATCCGAACGACTAGACAGCTTTCCTTGTCAGCCCCTCCGTCCTGCATCACTGACAAGGGAGAACCACGCCGGAAAATCTGGATGAACTTTCTCGGCCAATGCAGGGATCGAACACCCGACCTCCAGGCTAGCGAGCTAGCGTCTTACCCACTTAGCCACGTGATCCCCCCTGTTAAACCAAGCTAAAAAAGAGGCTAATGTCCTCTGCCTCAATACCAATAACAATTAGATGACATTCATTAATCAATTATTTGCATATATTTACCTTTTTATAATGCATTAAGCAATCAAATTACTCATCACTTTGCGTTAACCTGAGCAGAAAATATTCACCATCACTCTCACTCAATTAGATGTCATTTTATATACTGGGTAATTAGTTTACCGGTATGTTTTAAAAGGCATGATGAAGTGAGTAGTATTAGCCGGATGTTTTAACGTCTGCTTGTACAGAAGTGATATACATATAGCAGACATACACAAACAGAGGGAGTCACTAGAGAATCTGTCCACACAATTTCTAATCTATGAAAGACAAAAGACAAAAAATGGGTGGACAGATAATTATATGTACATGTATTTAACTGACTCCCTGAAGCTGTTTCATTAAACATTGCTTATGTCTGCACAAGGCTCCCCATCCAAATTGTGTACTCCACCAGGGCCGGACTTACCTAATTGTGGGACTGGCTTGTCCAAAATTCACCAGTTAAAGACCACCATGGGCCATATACTTATTGTACAAGGGACCTTATGGTTTTGAATATATTATAAAAAGGAATAATCAGTGTACATTTAGTTTCAGTGGGCCCCAGACACATGTGGTCGGCGTGGTCCCTAGGCCAAGGACCTACTCTGCCTACATGTATTTGTAAATCCGACCCTGTACTTTACAATGTTATAGTTAGAAAATATACCAAGCACAGCAGACTATACCTTCTGGGATTTCAAACAGAATGTCTTCTTCGCTCTCACTCATGGAAGCCATACTGCTTGTAATCAAATTTTAGTAAGTGCGGGAGGTGTTAATTAATCAATTAACATTTATAACAGAGATTAGTCTACATGCTGAAGTCTGAAGAATAAAAGAGAAAATGTTAGTTCAGAAAATAAGCTTATTACAAGCTAATGAATGATACCTACTACTGGTGTATAATTATCTTTAATAAGGAAATCCAATAAAAAATGAATAAATAAAGGTTTCATTCAACAATCTCATAGGAACACACCAATTTGATTTTATGTTATTCGGGTTCATCTTTAAAAAAAATTCCTTCTTATTTCTCTTTGGGGGCTTGGGGGCGATTCCCTGGTTGTATGTGACCTGGAGTACAGTGTAGGTTCACCTATCCAACTTCGTGGGTTTTGTCCGGGTCCTCCGGTTTCCTCCCATTGAAATGAAAAAATTGAACCATATGTTTGTCCCGAAATGACCTAGTTTGTGTTGAGTTGAGACCTTACATCTCTCTCTCACTCTCTATGATTTGGGTAAAAAGACTTTTTTTTAAAAAAAACCCCCCAAAAACCCAACAAATGTGCCTGGTTTCAAAGAAACCATCTTTCACATCATTCAAGAGGCTTTTGTTTATCAAGACTCTGTAGAGCAGAAAATCAAATTGGTGTGTCCTAATGTGTAAATATGCATGAAATGCATGTACTGGCTGTTAAAATGTGTCTTTCAACAAAGTATCGTTCTCCGCATCTTCAATAGAAGTCTTGATCTCACTTTAACTACATACATCTTATCAAGGCCTTCACATAAAACCCTGCATGTTTCGTCACTAGTTTCGATTGGGTACGAGCCCACCTTGCGAACCTATCAGACTCCTCGATCGTCGCGAATACCAAGTCTCGCGCTTTCAAGCTAAAATGTCTACCTGTGATAATCGAGTTGCAAAGTTCAAGGTTCATTCAATGTCAAGGTTTCTGTGGAGGTCGCGATGTCACAACCTCTGATTGGATGCTACTGCTCACGTGTCGGGAATTGTGAAGTAAACAAGCAACGTCCAGATGTTGTAAAACTTGCAGTCGTTACTTCCTTGCTATATTACTATTATCATCTGATTACAGATCAGATCTGAATCAGGTTAGTTCAAACCAAACAGAAAGTTTTATTTAAAATTTGAAAGCTAGATACTGTGCAATACAAATAATAATTTGACTGGATAATTGTGAGTCTCTGTCAGTGAAATACATTGTATATATTTGGAAGAATAATATAAGCTCTCTTAATAAGCTAAAATAATCAAGTAAGTTTAATCCCTGACTGGAATCAAATCATTGATCAATGTTAGAATGTAAATATGTTATAAACTTAAATTTGAAATTACAATGGGGGAAAGTCTCTGAATGTCATTTGAGGTCTTGTTAATTGCTTGCAAACTACAATATTGTGAAAGTTGAATTTATAAAGGGAAAAAAAGTCAAAAAATGGTTTAATTGTGTCTGATTTGACCACATTTTTAGGCCATTTTGGTGTAAAATTGTTTCATCTATGACCCTTTTAAATATGTTGGCACCATCTTAAGCTTTGTTGAACTCTTTTGGTGTCCCTCTTGTTAATCCGATTGAATCTGACCTGAGATTACTGTTGACATTTTGATTAAATTGTTTTCTTAATTAAATGTTAAAAAATCAATTGAAATACATTCTAGCGTTGATGAAGCTGTGGAAAATTTGATATTTTCCAAAAAATGAAAATGACAGTACAGAGGCTTTACCAAAACAGACTAATGCAAAATAAAAATGCTTGTAACCAAATACTGTTTTATATATAAAAAAAAAAATCTCTAATTAACTGAAGTAACTGTCAACTGTATAATACATTTAAACATACATAAGATAGGGGTAGCAGGACTAAGCTCTGAATTTAAAACTGCCATGCCTATTGTTTCAAACATCTTAATTTCATTTACAAACTTATTAGATCTTCTTCTAAGTAATTTTTAAGATCCTGCTTCACTTTGAACTACCATAAGCAAGTGCTACAATGTAAAGATGTATAAAAATAAGAAGAAAAGCATTAAAACTGAACTAATGTTCATCATGCTGGGACAGGGTATCAGTGATGATTTTATATTTCATTTGTAGTTTAAATCTCTAAGCTAATGGTGGCAAGTTTAATTATAATGTTGGTTGTTTAGCATTACACAAGAAACATCTTGCACAAGAAACATCTTGCTGTATATTCCCTATGAACCAGGCCTTGAAATAACGGTTTGGGTTGTACCTGCATTAAATGGCAAATTGGCAGTCAATACTGAACTACATGTACTGTAGTACCTGATTTTTAAATTGAAGTTTCATTTGAAAAGGTTTACGTTAGATGTTTCAAACCATTATGTTGAATTTTTCAAAATTTTTAGGTAAGGTGTGTTAAGATGAAATTTGTATCATCAATTAATTGAAATATTCTAAAATAGTACAACTTGTTGACCAGAATAAAGATTGGGACATATTATTCAGTTACAACAAGAGTGGTATTGAGCCTTTAATAAACAACAACAACATCAAGAGCGGATATTTTTCGTCTCAAATTGTAATAGATTACAAACTTAGGAATGGAAAATTTTACAGCGAATTTTAAAATGCCGCATTATCTTTGTGTTTCCGATACACAGCAGTATTTAAACCATGGTTCTATTAACAAGCTATTCTATGGACTAATACTTACTCTCCACCTATCATATAAAATACATAAATCAAAAGTTAAAAAAGACTGAATCAAACAGGCCTGGAATTTAATCCACTAAGTTTGTTTTAAAAGACTTGTGTCCTTTTCGCAACATTAGCCAGTCTAATATTCAATTATAGCATGGTCAGATAAACCTTATTTTAATTCAGAACACATTTAAAGCTGTGGCAGCATCTTTGATGATCTACAAACTAAACTTGATTACCGGTAGGCCTACCCAATCAACTATCTGAATCTCCTGAACAGTCTGGTACAAATTAATTTATTATTAATTGTACGGTAGTGATTATACATTAAACTTATTGTAATAAATTACACAGAGAAAGTGACAGATTCCACTGTATATGTGTAAAGTTGTAAATAATAAATAAAACTTTATTAGCTTGGGGATTAGAGCTCCAGTCAGGTGTTAACCATAGCTTACAAATGTACCCTTTTAATTAAGGAATAAACATTACTAACCATTACATTTGCATGGTTACTATGAATGTAGAAGATTAACAGTATTTTCCAATTATGTAGCCTAATCTTTAAGGATGTTTCTTGAGCCATACAACGAGTATAAATTAAGAATCGGATTTACTTCTGGCCAGATCATTTAACCTGGAGATTTATACTACAAAAAGTCTTCAATTAATCAAGACTCACTAAACTGAAGAGTATTCAAAGATGTTCACTTCTTCAACTTGCTTGTTATGTAAGTGTATATGGAAAATAACATAATTACCTATTTAAGATGTTGATAATGCAAAGTCACAATTTATAAATATATAACATATGGCTTGTTTTTTTGACTTGCAACAAACATTGTTTACAACACAGTCCGCACTTCTTGTCAGTAATCTTTAATTTACTAATCCAAGGGAGGTTAATCTATTTTTGTGGTTCAACATAGTTATTTCCCTTATAAGATGAGACCATAGACATAGTATGTCTATGGATATAGACATAGTATGTCTATGGATGAGACCCATCTTCTTATTATTGCAGAATTATTAAAAGACGTAGGGCCTACACAAATGAAACGGGGTTAACATCATACTCTTCTGCACCGACTATCTGTGATAATGAAGACAGGCGTGCGCCATGTATATGAAAAGCATAGGCCTAAAATATGCACCGTGTAAAGATGTTTTTTCTAGTTGGTGTAGGCCTACTTTTGACCATTTTAAAGTAGGCCTATTTTTTTTCGATTCGTGAGCTGCCTGACGAAATAATATTATATTTTACAGGACAGGTGGGGAAATGTAATAGCAGAGGGGAAATCGCTATTCCGGTGCCACCACAGGCCTAAGCCAACGTGTAGGCCTACACAGGACCTTGGTTTTCGTCCCACCCGAACGACTAGATACTTCCTTGACCCCCTCCCATCCTGCACCACTAGCTGACCAAGGTGAGATAGCGCTGGGTGAATCCCGGGGAACTTTCTCGGAGTCTGAGTGAGATAACGCTGGGTGAATCCCGGGGAACTTTCTCGGAATCTGAGAGAGAAGAGAGGGGTGGGGCCTGTTTCACGAAATTTTAACTAAGATAAAATCCAAATTTTACTAATTTGATTGGATAATATTAGGTTGATTTTAGTGCTTAGCCATTTAAAATTGAAGTATCTACTAAAATTTTGATTTTATCTTTAGTTAAGATTTCGTAGGCTACTGTCGCTTATTTTTCAAGAACAGTCTGTAGGCTATGTGTTTATATCAACAAAAGTTACAGATGAATCTAGAACTCTCTCTCCCCCGAGGTGACATTTACTTGATTCCCGAGGTGACTCATTTACTGTTGTTGCTGGTACTGGGACTGTTGGTATCGGAGACGATTTTTTTCTTTTCTGGTGTGTCACTTTGTTGCATCTAGATAAAACAAGGGCTTTTAGTATGTCCAGGTGACCTAGCAATCTGTTTCACAGAGAATTACGAGTCTCGTATGGTGACCTAGGGCTTATATTCTTAAGTTTATCCTTCCTTATACCATCATTTTTACATCTATAATTGACTCTTTTGGAATTTAGTACATTATTCGTTCCAGACTCACAGTTCCCCGAAGGTTGAGGCTACTGGCTGGAATTATTTATCTCAATAGCCTATGTGGCGGAAAAGTAATATATTGTAAGGGTCTGGACTATGCGGGTTCTTCTGTGGAAGGTATAGGTGATACCCTTACGGATGTACACTTAATCATCTATCACGATTCTCTGGGCCTCCTTATCGCTCTACTGGGCGTGCTACAAATCGTCTGATCTTCTCTGTTATAGACGGCCGATTTATTTTCTTGCTCTCTTTCTATCTTTGATGTACATGTTAGGATTCTCTCGTCTGTTAGTCCTGCCCTGCTCCAGCCACCCGCTTTTCGGGCACCATAAATTCATTTACTACCGGATTTGACTGGAAGGGTAGCTGTAGGGTACTGGAATCTGCTGAGGTTTGCCGAATAAGGTGGACGACGCTGGGACACAGGATCACTGGAGTAGTAGATGTGAACGCTTATTAACAGCTGTCAATTGTTGTTATAACTGTGAAATAGCTTTATATAACGCCCGCCTCCACTGAAGTGATATTGCAGACAAGCAATTGTTGTTTTGTATCACAATTTTAACGTCCAATACTGATTATGATATTATGGACAGGTTGATTTACTTGGTATTATTTTCATTGGTCTTTTTTTTCCTTTTTCTATCAAAACTTTCTTATAGATAATCGGAGATGTTCGAAGCCCCAGATGAATATAATCTACATGTGTGCGTATACGTGGAAGAAACCTGTTAATTAAACCGGACACAGGACATAAGTAGGCCTACACCAAACATTATTTATACCGTAGGCTGAGTGCAGAGACAAGTTGGCACAAATATCTGACTTGCGGATACCTGTAAAAATAGATGATTGCACAAACGATATCTAATAAAACTTTTCCCTTATATCTTTTATTTGTTAGTTTATACTCTTGATGTATAACACAGAGCATTAATTCTTGGGTTTATAATACAGAGGTATTTTATAACAGGGGCGGATCCAGGAATTTCTGCTGGAGGGGGTGTCCGGGTAGGTTCTTTTCCCCCGGCCTTGAAATTTTTTTTTAGAAATAAATGGTCTCTTTCGTCATTTTGTCGTATATCTGGGTTAACCGACGTCACTTTGACAAATCACAGAAAATGGGATTTTACATAAATATACAAAATGCATGTACTTACTCATACTAATCGCAGTTTTTCGTTTGATTAGAGCTAATACCACTCAACACTGCTGTAATGGAAGCAAGTTTCTGTTTCAAATTATGACTGGTCAATAGTCCGATTAACAACCAATAGCTAACTGCGTAACAATATCATTACGCTTTAAACAGAGCTCCAGATTGGACCAACTATGTTTACATAGCGTTACGTCATGACTCACGATTTTATTATGCCCAATTAAATAGAATATTGCAGAAAAACAAATTGCGTGACAAACGAGGCTATCAACAGGAATACAATGTAAACAATACTGTTTGGAGACGAACAATACTTTCACCGTTTTTTTATATTTTAAATCACTATGCAAAGGGAAGACCCTGATTAAAAGAAGGGTGTCTTGTTGCTGTACTTGGGATAGATCTGATTGAACGAGAAGAATAGACACACTTCCTCAAAAGCTCGAGTATCAAAAGTCAATCCAGCAATGGCCAGAGGGGGATTTCTCGGGCTTTAGGAATATGGTAATTAATACGCTACGTTTTAGTTTTACTGATATGCAATCAAATAAGGAAACTTTAAGGAAGCAAAATAGAAAAATAAAAACCGACCGCGACTGTGTCAAACACCAAAATATCAAGAAAAATTCATCACATAAACTATTCTATTAGTTTTTTCCCCAATATTCCGGGCCACAGATAACTTGACAAGAGCCTAAAATAGAGTTCTGCACAATTATGACTCCAAATATTCTCTTCAAAAAAAGTAGGGGATATTCAGAAACAATACAAAACTGCGGAAATGCACTGCTGTTTTTATTATGCATACACATGAACATAAACAGTTCATATGGGCGGCTTATCTGACGGAACCATTTCACTCACAAAGAGATATACCGTCAAAAGTGAAGATGGACGTTTTTGATTTTTGTCTTGATAATGATTAATTGCTTCACCAATCCTCAGACATTATGCAATTCGTCGTGGCATGCTCCTAATCAGCCGTCCAATCACGATTTGGGGCAATCTGGCCCACTTCTCTTGCAGTGCCACGGTCAATTCTTGCAGTGTTATCGGTTGACGTTGACGTCGACGAGCACGTCTCCCGATCAAATTAAACGTAACACACTAAAGCAAAGATACGCTAAACAGTAAATCTTATGCAAGAACCGATAGGAAAGCAAACGTGGATAGATAAACCAGCACGCGGCAGTTTTCATCAACCCTTCCTTGAAGTGTCAAATTTGACAATGAACCCCTCCCACGTGTATGTCGCTATTATGTGTCGCATGTGCAGCTCAGTGGTTCTGTTGGGGCGATAAGTTTTTCATCTGTGAACACACTCTCAAAGCATGTCAAGTATCCATGACTATTTATCATATTGCAACCTGCATAGGTATTTGCATTTCAATATCCCCTACTTTTGTTGAAGAGTATATAATGGAGAGAATAAGCGGCGTGGATGTTTTTGGATGAATGTAAAGCATCTGATGATAACGGTTAAAGCACACGACCGTGACACTCTTCTCATGAAAAGTGTTGATTTGCAAATTTTTTAGCAGGGTGAGTAGATGTGTGGGAGGAGGTGGGGTGGGTGGTTGGGGTGCCCTTTCCTCTCTGGATGCGATATCCTCGATATCGGTGACCTGTTCCGTTTACATGAATATCCATTTTGGAGATCCATATTTAGACATCGATGCTAGATCTTCTCTTATTGAAATAAGATGAAAAAATATGTTCCAATTTTATAGATATTGTATTATATATAAGTGCAATTGTGCATCTGAAATATTATCAAATTCCCAGGGTCACCAGTAAAGCTGTTAGGTATAGGCCGGAGGCCCAGCGCGGGGAGGTGTCCATCAAAAGCCAGGCCCAACTTTTCTATAGTAAAATTTTGCGTAGAATAAGATGCAGAGCCAAAACGTGAAATTTTCCGTTTCTGCAAGTTTACATTTTTATTGAAAGAGTGATTACTTTCGATCATTATAAGCATATATATTCATGATACAAGAATGGCCACGCATTCACATTCAGTGTAAATGAACTCATTTGACCTTTGACCCCGAATATCTCGAAAACGCCCCAACGGCGGACTGATTAACATTCGGTATCGTATTCGAAGCGAAATTTTACTATAGAAAAGTTGGGTCTGGTTTTGTGCCCATTTGATGGACCCCCCCCACCCCCCACACACACACACACACGCTGAGCCTCCAGACTAGTGGGCCTACATGAATGTGTCACACGTGGAGAGAATAAGAGAAATGTAATTCGTTTGCGCGTAGGGATCTTTAGCAGTGGGAGGAAACCGGAGGACCCGGAGAAAAAACAACCGGGGAATCGAATCCACGCCAGTTGACTCAATGACAGACCTTACGATACAGCGCGCATGTGCTAACCATTCAGCCCCCCTCCCCCCCGTGTCAAACGTGGCATCAGATGTCCCAGAAGAGTAAGTGTATATAACAGTACCCTGAACAACGCCCGCCAAAACTGACCGACTTTGTGTATTATATTATTGTAATAATCATGGTGTGGATCATGAGAAAGTCACACGTGATTTATAATCTTAAAGATTATCGCGCATATGAATATTTCCACGTACCGTTTCTGTTCATGACTTTCTATATTTACACGATGAAGGTTTTAATATTAATAGCTCTAGTAGGTGTATTGGGCTTTGGTGGTAAGTAAATACATTATTTTGATCATAAATATCTCGAGTAGACACGAACGCAACAAGAGTATACTATAAATCGTAATATACACTCCATAATAATGCGATTTTGATCCGGTTTAAATGACATTTTTTCGAATTTGTAAAAAAGATATTTCCAATAATACTGAAATGATAAAGCCAAAGCTAATACAAATTCATCTATGTCGTGATGATTTTTTTAGGTTTTTTTTTATGAATAGTGATTACATTTGGTTTGAGTAAGAGCTTATACATTACACGAGTGGCAGAAGTTTCGTTAACACTTTAAAGAGTCTACAGTAAATGAATTAAAATGTAAGTTGTATAGTCCAGGCCCGTAGCCAGCGGGGTGGAAAGGGGGCAAATCCCTTTCGTGGACGCAATACGAAGCCAACGACCAACGTGCCCATATCGGTATGGTGACAATGGTTGGGCGCCCACTAATGTCACTTGGTTTTCCGTCATTTTCACAGTTCCCTCCTTAGGTGCAAACCCTATTTTGCAAAGTTTTCTGGGGAGAGAGCAGCCTAAACCCTTCTCCGAAAGGAGGCGCGTCTACGTGGACCGTCGAGTGCCCCAGGAGTACCCCCCCCCCCCATTTTGTGGGGTAGCTACGGGCCTGATATTCATAGTAAGTTAAATACCAGTAATAAAAACAAAAATAAACAGACATAAAAAACAAAACAACAACCAATCGGCGCTGTTAGGCTGCAATAGGCGATCCACTATGGTGTGAGGCTGGGGCAGTGGGTGGACATATGCAGTTGAGGAGTCGTGCATCGGAATAAAGATACGTCCAAAATTATGGCAATTTTAAGTTTACATTATTTAATATTGGTCAAAGGCCGCCATCTTTATACGTCTGAATATATGAAGTAATGTTATTCCACGGAATCTCTCATATTGTATGCGTATTGGGGGTTTGTGGTAGCTATTATATTATTTTGATTCGTTAAAAATTAGTTTGTGCTGGGATGTGCTTACTTCGATTTTTTTCCGTTTAGATGCATTTCGATTGAGTGCCAATCTTTGTCCAGATGACAAGCCAATGGTGTATTGCTTCATAGACCCGTGTATGTTACCTAAATGTACCAACCATGAAGATGCTAAATGCTGGTACGTATGTAAGCCCGACTCCATTTTGTTTTGGACGAATATAATTGATAGGCCTATTTTAAATCCGATTAAATCCTAGCCAGGCGGTTATCAAATATTTCATCCATTATAATAACAAATAACCATACAACAGTACAGTTAAAGGATACTTCAGTAAGCAAAGTACTTATTATGGATATCGATCGCTTCCCGAATTTGTTTTCTTTATCAAATGTTCAATAATCAATCTACATGTAAGTACACATTAGCGTGGATTCGTGAGAAATTTGATATTTAAGCGCAAAATGCAAGTCGCGCAAAGTTACAATTTCATATTATAGGATTAATAGGATTATTCTTTAACAAGGTAGGACTGTTTATTGATACCATCTATTTTAAGGCTTTATTTTAATAAATTTTAAAAATATAACTTAAAAATATGAAATTGCAGCTTTAATAACTCACACTGTAAAGTTGATATCATTCACGTATGAAAGTGGTTTACTAATAAAAATATCCTTGTACAAACAGATCTATTCAGTGAAATACACAACGATTGGTTAGGTTTGTGTATTTCATAGTGATGGGTATTATGATTAGTAATTAGATTGTAGTCATTATATAGGTGTTATTGTCACTAAAATGTTAAGACTATGAATATTAAGTGAAATACACAACTAGTGGTGAGATTTGTGTATTTCATAGTGATGGGTATTATAATTAGTAATTAGACTGTAGTCATTATATAGGTGTTATTGTCACTAAAATGTTAAGACAGTGAATATTAAGTGAAATACATCACTTCTATGGAATATTCAGCTACATGTTCTATTAAATGTTCAGCTACATTTTCTTTTAAATGTTTAGCTACCTATGGAATGTTTAACTACATGTGTCATTTAATGTTTAGCTACATGTTCTATGGTATGTTCAGCTACATGTTCTATAGAATGTTTATCTACATGTTCTATGACATGTTTAACTACATGTTCTATGGAATGTTTAACTACATGTTCTATGGAATGTTTCTTCAAGATATCGCCAGAAGAGTACATAACAGAATTCTGCACCAACCCATGTTCATCAGTGTAGGTAGCCAGCTGATTTTGATTTATTTTCCTACTTTATAGGTCCGACTACTGTGGTGGGTGTATTGCTGTCTGGAAACGACCTGATGGAAGTGTTATAGATGATTGCACAAACGAAATGCAATAAAACTTTTCTAAAATATCTTTATTTGTAGGTATACTGTCTTTAATTCTGGGATTTATAATACAGAGGTACATATGTAACGACAGTGAGTGGCACTTGTTGAGCTAGCAAGATGTCCCAAGCTCCTCGGATGAGTCGCGTTGAATAGAACGGAGAGTAAATGACCACCCCCACCCCCATCATCACAGAAAATAAAAATTAAACCCTTTTCTCTCCTTTACTGGCCGTTATCGACAGGGCGATAATCATATATCTTAATGCGCAAGTTCGATTTGTAGCACTAAGTAATACAATAGATAGTATAGCACCCACTGAAACACACCCAACCAAACACAGGTACACGGCCCACACCTGAGAGAGAGAGACAAACTAGGTCATTTCGGGACTAACATATGGTCCAATTTTATTAGTTCAACAATCCGATTGCGCGTAGGGGTCTTTAGCAGCGGGAGGAAACCGGAGGACCCGGAGAAAATCCACTAGGATGGACAGGCGACCCTACTCCTTGTCACGTACAACCGGGGAATCGAAACCAAGCCAGTTGACTCAATGACAGCACGTGCTTACCATTCAGCCATCCAACCCCCCCTAAATCAAAGAGGTTTATTGCCTTCTACAGTTTGTCTAGTCTGGAGGTCGGGGGTTCGTTTACGGTGTTGAATGAGAAAGTTCATCGGAATTTTCCGGCGTGTTTGTCCTTGTCAGTGGTGCACGACGGAGGGCCTGAGAAGGACAACTGTCTAGTCGTTCGGATGGGACGAAAAACCGAGGTTCCGTGTTCAAATTGGCGTGCACGTAAAAGATCCCTTGGCAGTTGGAATTTGATATAAGAGTAGGCCATAGTGCCGCTGCCAATGCAATATTTCCCTCATAACACATCGTATAGTGTATGCCCGTTTTCATTAACCCAGTCGGAGCAGAACAGTAGGACGTTAAACCCCATTTGATTTCATTTCTACAGTTTGTTAATATATTTTAAGCCAAATTTCAAACCCTAACGAGTAGCAGCGTGCTAGTTTTGTCGCTCAAGAAAATGCCTATCCGTTTGCAGTAGTGGACTCCTGCTGGGACCAGGGGCGGGTTGGGCCGGTCGGACAAAAAATGAAAAAAATAAGTTTATCCAATTCGTCTAAAAAAGCTTTTTCTGCTGAACATTATATGGGGGTGGGGGGTGGGAGGGGTATTGGACCGGCCATGGAGCGATGATGATCATGTTTTATGTGGCCGGTGGCTTTAACGGGCCGCCACGCCATCACTGGAGTCTGGAATGGGCTAGTATAATAGACTTTCTGGGCCGGGTGTGCTGGGTGTGGGCCGGGATTCCGAATTTCATCCGAAAATTTCATCGGATTCACCCGACACTGTCGCCTGCAAATTTACTAATTATTAAGTCACCTGCACCCTGTTTGTAAAATTTGATGATAGCTGGTCTGCTGGCTGAATATGAGTGCGAGACGATTTCCTGGGGCTGGTGTTAAACATTCCTGGACATTTTTATTAACTCGTTATTTTCAGAGATGAAATTACAGAATTTTGGCCTAAATTGATTATTCGATTTATGAGATATATTATTTGACAGAGATTATAATCAGATATGCCACCAAATCGCATATTTTGGGTTCATTTTTAAAAATTTTCCCGGGGGAGAGTCCGGGCTCCACGGTCAGTAAAAGGGGCCGCTCCGACATAGGATCCCGGGCCGGTTCCCGGCCCCAATCCGCCCCTGGCTGGGACATTTCATTAAACGGTGATAAATCTTGAGAGCCATTTTCCTTGTCATCCAACAAAATCGGTGTTTAAACATTAAAACACATTGATAGTTTAATACTGTATAGTATTTATTTATTTGCAGCAAGTCACAACATACTGTACATAGATTACCATGGTGGACTCCTGTCCTCGTGGGGCGCACACAGGGGCCGGTTGATGGCCATTTGGGGTTGAGTACGACCGAGACATTGTGGCGCATAAATTAGTGCTTTATTGGATTTCGGGCACTTTATTTTGCCAACTACGCGCATGCCAATTATGGAAATAAAATTGAACCATATGTTAGTCCTGAAATGACCTAGTTTGTGTCGAGTGGACGTTAAACCCCATTGCCCTCGCTTGCCCTCTTTGATTTAGCTTATAATAAAGTTTGGATTGATGAATCTGGTCTTTAATGACACCCACTGTACGAAGAGAAAGAGGCGAATCGAAAAGGTGACGTTATAATATAGCGAATTGGCCATTTTCTAAATTTCCTTCTAAAAACTAACTATACAAGCCCCAAAATAAACAATTTTTCCGTTTTTTTCCTTTGGCAATTCCGATTTCGATCCTTCGGCGTCCCTTCTAAAGCGTTTTAAGGATCTAAATATTTATCATTCTGTGGTCGAAAAGATAAACCCTCTTTAAACATAGGTTTGGGAATTTATTGTCCGCAACTTTTATGATTATTATGTTTACAAAACAAAGTGAAGAGCTGTAATTTATAGGCACGTATCCTACTATAAAAAGTGTATACATTGTTACGCAACATTAAGACCAATCCCCGGCCATTTTATGTCCAATACAATTATCACAGACGTCAATGACTTACCAAAGTGACTCACCCTACTTGACTTTCGACAGCGTATCCAGAATTTTTGAACGAGGATGGGGTATCACACAGAGAGAAAGAGAGAGAGAAAGAAAGAGAGAGAGGGGGGGGGGGGGTAAAAAGAGAAAGAGAGAAATGGGATTTAACGTCCACTCGACACAAACTAGGTCATTTCGGGACTAACATATATGGTTCAATTTTATTTCAATAATTCGCTTGCGCGTAGGGGTCTTAGGCAGTGGGGGGAAACCGGAAGTCCCGGAGAAAACCCACGAAGTTGGAAATGAAATGAAATGTTGTGTAACGTCCTACTGTTCTGCTCCTAACCTGGGCTAATGAAGACGGGCATACGCCATACAGTGTGCTATGAGGGAAATTTTTGCCCGGGCAGCGGCGCTACGGCCTACTCTTATATCGAATTCCAACTGCCAAGGGATCTTTTACGTGCACCCCAATGTGTACACGGGACCTAGGTTTTTCGTCCCATCCGAACGACTAGACAGCTGTCCTTGTTAGGCCCTCCATCCTGCATCACTGACAAGGGGAAACCACGCCGGAAAAGCCACGAGGTTGGACAGGCGATCCTAATCCTTGTCACGTACAACTGGGGATTTGAAACCACGCCAGTTGACTCAATGACAGGCCTTATGATACAGCACGCACGTGCTAAACATTCGGCCATCCAACCCCCTGAGAGGTTTAAAATGAAATTGGGGTTAATGTCGACCCGACACAAAGTAGTTCACTCGGTACTAACATATGATTCAATTTTATTTCAGAGAGAGAGGGAGAAATGGGGTTTAACGTCCACACGAAACAAACTAGGCCATTTTGGGACTAACATATGGTTCAATTTTATTTCAATACTTCGCTTGCGCGTAGGGGTCTTTAGCAGTGAGAGGAAACCGGAGGACCCGGAGAAAACCCACGAGGATGGACAGGCGACCCTACTCCTTGTCACGTACAACCATGGAATCGAAACCACGCCAGTTGACTCAACGACAGATCTCATGATACAGCGCGCCCGAGCTAACCATTCGGCCATCCAATCCCCTTATATGAAAGAAACTGTTCTAAATTGTTCTGTTGTCTATAAATAACGAATCCCCCCCCCCCCCAATTTTATTTCAATAATTCGCTTGCGCGTAAGGACCCAGAGAAAACCCACGAGGTAAGACAGGCCACCTTACTCCTAGTCACGTACAACCGGGAATCGCAACCATCCCGGACCCCCACCCTGAATATAGATTAAACGTGATAGTACAACCTCAAATCACTGCATGCAATGTATATCAAATATCAAATTGCTGTTACAATAATTCATGATATACGAAATGTCCAATATCTAAGTAAAGCCCACCTTCAACTGGTATCATGTAATTGTGCTGTTTTAGCAGGAGTTTCTGTATTTCAAACCATTGCTGGTAAATTGTTTAAATTCATCGAGAAACATCCAAAGGTATTTGGAGAGAGAGAGAGAGAGAAATGGGGTTTAAAGTCCACTCGACACAAACTAGGTCATTTCGGGACTGACATATGGTTTAATTTTATTTACATAATTCGCTTGCGCGTAGGGGTCTTTAGCAGTGGGAGGAAACCGGAGGACCCGGAGAAAACCCACGAGGTTGGACAGGCGACCCTACACCTTGCCACGTACAACCGGGGATTCGAAACCACGCCAGTCGACTCAATGACAGACTTTATGATACAGCGCGCGCACGCTAACCATTCAGCCATCCAAGCCCCCCCCCCCCCCAAAGTTATTTGGATCCTACTGTTGCGTAGTTTAAAATGATTCGTTTACTTTCACTAGGAGTGATTGAACATACATTATGCAAGCGCTAAATCTAACTATTACAAGTCTTTCTTTAGGCTTGAAATGTTATCTGAATTATTAATTAGACATTTAATAACACGGAAAGGCCTTAATCAACTCTCGATGAGATCTTATTTTCACTGGATTTGAATCAAATCTGCTGCTCAACGCTCATTGATGTTCAAATGCAAAAGTGGATAATCCAGACTTCAATAATGATCATAGAGGCTAGGCCTAAAATTCAATTGCTAATATCTCGGTTCCGAGTGGAGCAATTTGACTGAAATTTTCACCATATTACCTTTACATTATCTAGTTTTTAACTATTATAGTGAGAACTGCCAACCCTTTATCTAATCTTCCATAATGCCTATTTAACAGACTAAAACAACATAACAACATGATGTCAAAGTTGTTCTGGATAGTTGATTTAATTAGTTTCATAGAAGTGTCCACACTCAATATAGTAATATGATTTACAAGAATGACGTAACAGTAAAAATAGCGACCAATCTTGACGGTAGTCGTCGCTTGAAGAGCGAAAGTCTGCTAATTGAAGTCATGAATTAGAACGTCAAACAATTTTAACAATAATCGTGTC